CAAAAAGAAATGGCAAAACGGTCCAAAACACGGGTAGTCAAAAAAAAATTATTACTCACCTGAAAAAAAAAGTTTTTTTGGTATTTTTTTTTTTTACTTTTGGTATTTTTTGTGTTTAATGTTTTCCGAAATTGTTTTAAAACCTTGCACTTTGCGAGATGGTATTTTTTTGAAAAATCTAAATTCAGAGATCCCATGGTTTTGACCACATTTTTTTTTTGGTTTTAAAACCCTTTTAATTTAATTATTAATTAGTTTTTAATTACGATTTGTTGGGTATTTTAAAATTTTAAAAAAAGTAATTGTTTTCCCCATTTTAAAAATCGATTTATTTTTTTTTAAATTTTTTAGATATATTTTACCGATATAACTAAAAATTAATTTTTAATTTAAAATTCATAAGGCAAAAAACATTGAGACCATACCAGATAAAACCCCTGTAGATCTCACAAAATTTTTTTGGGGAAACCCCTTTTTCTAAATAAATTATGCTTTTTAAAAACATGACGTTAACTATTTTTTTTTCATATATTTTTTAAATTTTATTTTTTTTTATAAATTTAACATGTTTTTTAAATATTTTTTTCCATGCATGTTTTTTTACTACCAAATTTCAGGGCATTTTATCAACTATTTTTTATTTATTTTTTTTCCTTTACATATCTTTTAACATTTTTTTCCCATACATATTGTTTATTTATTTATTTCATTTTAGTTTCTTTATTTTTCATACATATTTTTTAAATTTATTTCATACATATTGTTTTACTTTTTATTTCATACTTTGTTGTTCAGTATCTTTTTCAGGGCATTTTTTTTTACTATTTTTTTATGCATTTTTTTAAATTTATTTTTTTTCATCATTTTTGTTACTATTTTTTTTCATTTTTATAATTGTTTACTATCTATTTCATACTTTTTGGTTCTTTTATTTTTTTCAAAAAATATTATTTACTAGATCTTTTTTTTTCATTTTATTATTTTTTACTATTTTTCATAAAAATTTTGTTAATATTAGGTCATACTTTTTTTTCTGCGTTTGGTGTAGGTGTTTTTTAAACTTCCATTTATGTCATTACTTTTTTAATAGTTTAAATTTCAAGAATTTTTAAAAATGTTTTTTATATTTTGGGGCTTTCTGGGGCCCGGGAGTTTTTATTTTTCGTTATTTAAAAAACCCTTTTTGGGTCACCGCCAAAAGGGGTTTTTATTATCGTCAGGGATTTTCTTCCCTTTTGTGTCCCTTGAAAACCCCAATTTAAGGGAACGGGGAATTTGGTTTTTTCAAAACTCGGGTACCTTCGTGTCTAAAAATGAAATGAAAACCAAAGTCTTATCCCTCAGAGCGGGAAAAAATTTGCCATAAATGCGACTTTTTTAAACCCAACCAAAAATAAAAAAAAAATTTAAACACTTTTTTTTTTTTTTTCATATTTTAAAATTTTTAAATAATGTGTTTACTTATAATGTAGCATAGAATTTTTGAAAAATTTTGTATTTATTATAAAATTCCCCAAAAAAGGTAAATAGTGCCCCCCATTTCTTTGTTTTGCTCAAAAAAATTTACAGGTATTTTAATTTTTAAATTTATTCAATACATTAATTTTGAAGAAAGAATTACAAATTTGAAAGGTATTTAGATGAACGGGTTTTTACGTACCCCCAAAGGGCCCAACCCTGTTGATTATTATTTTGCTGAAAGCATAACCTTGGCCCCTCAAGTTTGACAGAAAATATAGTCATCAACGTAACTTACACTATTGTCAACGTTTTTCCCTACATTTGCATTTCAGTTATCCATGGAGATTACAAGATTTTCATTTTGGAAATGGTTCCCCTTGGCGTTTTTATAATTCTTCATAGAGCAGTATCTTCCACAGTTTTGGCACGAAACGGGTTTATTGCCATTTTGATTAACTATCTCAATTAATACTTGAGGGAAATACTGTCCAAAAATATCCCATCTTTTCAACATCTTTTTTGCACTTTTCACTTTAATGTTGCAAAAAAAACGATGTTTATTTTAAATCTTACGTGTATAAATCACAAAACGAAAATATAGTAACTCGCTCCATATTTGAAAAAATAATTTTTGAATTCAGTAATATTTCCAGGAATCTACTTTACAAAAACCCTCAATAATTGACATAATATACTGAAACAATTATGGTCATTGAATGGGGTTTTATAAATCTAAATAAATTTAACGTGGTATTGTCATGAATTTAGCGGTTAAAGAAAAAAAAAAAAAAGTGCGTTTCGATATTACATCGCCTTGATCAGGGTTTGGTGAACAAGGACAAAGACTGAACAATTGTTAGAAGAAGGAAATTTTGGGGTCAGGAACATTTTATACTTTTCCGTTTTCCGACAAAAACATTTCACAAACAGTGATGGAAGAAAAAGTTTTATGGTCCCTTATACATCAGTGTTCCGGTTGAAAGAAAGCAAAGGTAATGCAAAAACCATGTTTTTTCTAAATTTTCTCTTCAATATTCGTCCGCCCGCCCTTTCTAAATAGAAAAGAGATCGGATATGCAATTGCAGCGGTTTCCGATTTTAGCCATTGTGTGAACTGAAATTTCTCCGCTACAACTGATTTTTTGACAATAAGTCTTAATCAGTCCATTTTTGGTTTTTCAACAGCACATTCCAGAAATTCATTCTGGTTGATAAAAATTACTGGGTTTTTGGTTAACCAAAAAAACAGGACCGCCGAAATTAGACAAACAACCCTTTTATCAACAGGCCAAAAACAAACAGACAATTTTCAAACGTTCAGTCTTGATAATTTTAAATATTTTTTTTCTATAATTTCAAAAAGTTGTGCTGGAAAGGCACAGTCCCCAAATAAAATCAAGTCATTGATAACGTAAGTTAGGACACCCAAATTTATAAATCAAAAATATCCTGAATGAAAAAATTTGTATTTAATATATTGATATTTTATTTTTCCTTAATATAAATATATATATATATATATTAAGGAAAAAATTTTTTTAGGGGAAATTTTTTTAAGGGAAAAAAAATTTTTTATTCTCGGGGTTTTTAAATCTTTTCTGTTTTTTAAAGAAAAAAAGTAAAATTATAATTAAAAATATGTGGGGGATAAATTTTAAAAATTAATTTCCCTAAAATTTCAAATATAAGAATTTTAACTTTTGAAAAGGGGGTTAACATTAGTTTATTTTCAGGGTTTTAAAAAGAAAAGGTTTGAGTCCAAACCCCGATAAAAAAAAGCCCGTTTTTTAACATTTGATGTGCTGATTTAAGAAACTTTAAGGGGTTTAAATGAAAAAAACAAAAATTCAGAGGATGGGGGCGAAAAACAAATCTTGCTAATATTCTGAAAAAGGGAAAAGTGGATCAAATGGTTAAAAACCAAAACCCCAAAAACCCCAAAAATACCCTTTTTTGTACCCGAGCAGGAAATCAAGGGAAGAACTTTTCGATAAATACTGCGAAGAAGGTGCGTTTAATACTATCAACTGATCTAACTACATTTGAAACCCACATTCATTGTTATTTGTTTTCTTTTACTTTTTCGATAAATATTGGGTGTTTTCTTTTTTACTTTTAGATAGAAATTGCTAGGAATGTGCGTGTACTACTACCAGCTGTTTGTAACACATTTTAAACCCGAATTTATTCTTTTTGTTGTTTAATTTTTTGGGTTTGATTTTATAGTGATTTATGAATATTTTTTGTATGTTTCATTCAACATTAATTCGTATTTATTAATGAAAATAATTATTTATGTAATTAAACCTCAGATTGTTTCTAAATTTTGTTATTCGTTGGATTCACTTTGTATTTTGTTATTACAGTTCTGGTAATAATGATGTTACTGGTGTTTAACAGGTACAAACTGTTTCGGAATAGCAAACACACTAGAGAAGGCTTATATTTGCTATATTCAAATTGAACAAGCTATGGACCGGTTAGGTTTTTTTAGGGGAACTCCTCTAAAAACCATTGGTATTTCCTCGCTTTAAATGTCTTAATAATATTGATACTCAGACAGTCCCCGAAAACTATTTCTTTTTCCTCGCTGAATGTTTTTTTATATTTGATTATGTAAATTCTTGTGATTTACCATTCACGTACGTGATTACCAGTTAGTATGGTGTTGAATTGAACCCAAAAACTCCATTTGCTTTTACTAGTTATTAATTTACTGTTTTTAATACATTGTTATCTTTTAAAAAATAATTGTTTTAGTTCGTTTCTTGTTTATTTTAACACTAGATTTATTTAATATTTGAATTGTTTTAAATGATTTACAAGATTTGCACAATATTAACCTGACCGGGGGGCTAACACAAATTTACTACAAATTTTTAATTTTCATGTTTTAAAAAAATTTAAATTCCCCAATCTTTCGACTGGATTTTTAAATTTTTAAAAATCTGGTTTAATTTCCCTTTTTGCCGACCGGGTTTTTAAAAACCCGGGAGCTCCCCCCAGAAAAAAAAAAATGTTTTATTCCTTTTTTCTTTTTTTCTTGGAAAAATTTTTTTTAAACAATTTTTTAAAACCCGTAAACTCCGGGCCCAAAGGGAAAAACAAATTTTAAAAATTTAAAAAATTTTCCTTTCCCTTTCTTTATAAAATTTAAAAGGGTTTAAAAACATTTTTTATTTTAAAAAAAAAACGGGTTTTAAAGATGAAAAAATTTGAACCTTTTTTACTGCTGAAACCAATAGAAAAGGGGCCCCGTTTGCAAAAAAAATCTGTTTCGAAGATGGAATATGGTCACGTCAAATTTAAGAAATTGTAACAGGTTAAGGGTTAGAAATAGATATCATAAACTTTAATCTACATCACATCTACATTATACTGCTTCAAAATCGTTTACGATTACACTTAGCAGGTATACATTGCATACATTGAATTGAGAGATAGCTATGAGATACAAGGGAATTCATTCCCTAGCTCTTATTGTATAGACCCCCGAAATTTACCAGGATTTTTGCAATTAACATTTCTCTGAATTTCGTAGCTATTGAAAATGATATATTTTTGTGTTGTACATATGTGATTGGTTTTGGTATTTTCAGGAAGATCAGCCAAACCAGACTAGATGACCCGTCCACTCAGCCTTCTTGCGGACAGGAACATGAAATTTGGTATATATAATAATTATTGCAAGAGTAATGGATGTAAACTATTTTATTAGATATTCACTGCTTTTGTAGAACGATGAATAAACTTGCGAAGAAATCTTGTCAGATAATTCAACTTTACAAAATATATTTAATATATTTAAGCATGAAATATTCTATTTTGTGTATGCCCCTTGACTTTATAGAGTAATCAATAAAAGTCATGTAAGGATAAAGATCTTTGGTAATTATGAAAATAAACAGTAAGAAAGACAAGGTAATTACGTAGTCTATCTGTCTGGAATACCTTGATCATACTTTTATTAAAAATGTAAGCAATTTGATATCAAAACAATTAATCATTTTTCCTCCTGTTTAACAGATGCAGCGAATCCGAAAAAGCCCAGACGTAGAGATTCTGAATCTAAAAGGAAACGGTCATCCAGACAAAACAGCAGTTGTCAGTCAAATATTTCTTCACCACATGTTAGCCCATTCCATGAACAGAGTCCACATAGTCAGTCCCATAGCCCAATGTCTTCTCACATGAGCCCAGTGTACCCGGCCCAATCACCGTATCCAGTCTCAAGTCCAGCGCAGTCGGTTCCAAGTCCGGCTTTTTCAATGCAGAGGCAATTTTTTCAAGAAAGTGAAATCAGCGGGTCATGTACAGACGACAAATCTCGACTCCCAACCTTCCTAAAAGAAGAATGTCATATTTCGTCCTCTTCCTTGAATGATAATGATAATCATTGTGCTACATCGGAAAGAATATGTGTAGAACAATTTCAACAGTTTGACGCCATGGAAATAACTGTTGATAATAACTTAGACGTTTATCCAGTCGGTTTAGATTTGGTATCTCCCAATGTAGGAAGTGAGATTACAACAGCAACTACAGAAAGAAATATAATATCAGCTGGGGCGGCAGAGAATATGATATTTATAGAAGATTACGGTGGCGAAGATATTATTTGCTCCCAAGATATTGACAGCCAAAACAAGCAAATTAAACCCCATGCGACGGAAAACACAACCTCTCCAATTGTTTTAACTGTTAAAAATACGGATGGAAAATTAAGTTTAACTGGAGAAAACGGCATCGGGCAGGTAAATAGAATAGTACCAACACGTAATACATTCATAGACATAAGCCGGCTAACACCTGAGCAGATTAAACAGGTTTATGAATGGATAAACTTTGGAGACCATCTTCAAACAGATACCGGAATGAAATTGGAACACACACCTGTATTATCCGGTATCAGTGACATACCTGTTTCCACATCGTCGGGTAGTTCCGGAGATTTGTATGATTATAGGTATACGCTGATTTCTTTATATGTAATTTGGAACAATTTATTCTAAAGTTAAAAACTTAAGACAAATGCTAGGCCCCATAATTACTGATAGTTTCAGTGGTTTAAGAAGGTGTTCAAGGTAAAATATTTAGGTTCACAAGTGACGTTTAATTTATGTTTATTTACTGCAGCATAAACAGTAATTTGTCTGGTGGTATGTTTCCAACTTATTTAGCAATTTGTTTTATGTTGTTTTTTTATTTATTTTCTTCATAAATTATTTTTTTTCTGATTTTCTCAAATGTTATGTTAACCCTAGATACAGAAGACTGTTAGAATATTTTGTTTAAATTGATATACATATGAAAACTTGACTTGTTCGAATTCAACAACATACTCCAAACACGAATCTTGTTTTACCTTCTTTAAAACTTCTATTTTAGAATTCTCACATAAAATATTCAGGAATCTGACGTTTTAATGTAGACATGATTACGTTTTTGATTTACAGGGATGTTCTTTGGCGTGGCATCATTGTAAACTTTTGAAAAGTCTGTAGAGTGTCTAAGATTTTTAATTATATCTTTTTATTGATCTAATTTACAATACCCCTCCTTTTAATTTGCTAAAGTATACAATAATTGCAGATTAACATGTATATATTGTAGTTTAAAAGACACAGCCATACGAGTTACCCTTTTATATAACAGTTAACAACATTTGTGTAATTGTTATTAATATTGCAGTGCAATGCAGTTAGCTAATATGGGAAGTGGAGATATTGATCCCAATTTTGCAAAAAGCATTGTTGAACAAGACGTTGTACCAGATGAAGCTTCAGATGTATAGTCAGTCGTTCGTGATAACTTTGTATCGACTTAAACACCGTGTTCCATATACGTTCGTTCGTGATAACAGTGTATTGATTTATGCATTTTATGTTTTATATATGATCGTTCCAGATAACCGTTTATTGATTTATACATACATCTATGTTCAACGTGTTTGTTTGTGTTAACTATATATTGATTAACATTACCGCATTCATGTTCCACATATTATGTTCGTTTGTGATAACTGTAATTTGATTTGTACAGCACATACATTTTTTACTTATGATGGCTATGAAACCAACGCGATGACAATCATATGCTGCTGTGCATACGTGGCTGGATTTTGCGACTAATGAACAATCGAAAAAAATACAGTACCTTTTCAATGAATAAAACGTGTCTTTAAACTGGATTTTATCATTAGTACGATATAAATACTGGACTATGATACTGTAAATGTATGTTAATAGCTTTCTAGATTGTCAAATCTTCCGGTATGTGAAAATGACGACAAGACAATGTGTGATAAAGGACTTAAACAAATTTGTACTGCACAATGACGATCTATTTATTGTCTTGGAACATTGATTTGCTGAATATAGTTCGCCGTGGTTCTTCTCCATATATGTAATTCAAGTGAAAATCTCATATTTGTAAAATCGAAAGCCCTGTCCTTATCCTAATAAATTCTATTATTGATATACTATTTTTGAACTTGTAGGCATCTTAATGATTTCTTTTTGCTCCCCATCCCCTTAAACCAAAGCAATTATTTTTGTTGCCAGTATAATGTTCCGAAAAGTATTTTTTAATATTTTGAAAATATACTTTTGGTTTTTAAAAGTAAGCTTGAAGAGACCAAAATATAACTGAAAGATAATTACATTTTATTTAAAGCAGAACTTAAATTTCATTTTTAGTATTTTACCAACAAACAGCACACCTAGAAATACACAAAATTTGAATGTTTTAAATGTGACAGTTATACGATTTTCAAAAAAAAAAAAGTGTAATGTGGTTTCTTCTTTTTGAAAAATCATTGGAGTTTATCATAGGAAACATATTTGAAGTATCGATTATTTACTATTAAAAAAATACGATCTTATTCATATTTTTTTGTTCTATTCTGGAATTGTATGATTATCAGTTCTGTACATGTACTTTGTGCTAAAATTTAAAATTATTTAGTCTAAATATCTAATGTTTTATGAGTAAATTATTGGTAGTGGTTGGAGTGTGAAATAAAATTATCAAATTCAGCAAATTTCTTTTTTTTTTTATTGTGTATTCAATTCATAAAATATTCTACACTATAGCTTTATTTCTTGAAAGGCAACAACACGGGCATCCATTTTCAGGAGTGGCGGCATGGCGGAGTGGATAACGCTTAGGACTAGTAATCTTGTGATCGCTAGCTGCATGGGTTCAAACCCTGACAGGTGCAAGTCGTTGTTTTGTTGAGCAAGAAACTTTACACTCATTGCTCAGTACTGGTTGGTTCAAGGAAAGGTTTCGAAAGTGTGTTTATAAGCTAATATAACACAATCGAACTAAAATAAATTCTGTATAAACCAATGACATCCATTTATTTACTTTTGGAATGAACTACATAATTTTAAGATAAGGAGACTTCAAACACACTGGGACCTCACGACGAATTTGTCGGTTTTTACATAATGAAAGATAAATGTGTAGGAGCAGACGACAACATATACAGATATGGTTACCAATAAAAACGCTGTATTCTACTTTCATTTTTATTGTTTTATCGGATTTGTTCTGTTTTATTCTACCATACAAGGTAACATACTTTTCCATTCTTTAACTGAAAATTTAAAGCTTAAAAAAAGTCGAGACATTCTAATTGTTAACTTGTTATAATATGACCAATACTGATATTATCATACCAATTCAGTGCTTTAACTATAAGCTTTTTGTGTCGTTTAGTTTTTTACTTAATTAAGGTACTTTGGTATAAATATAATGATAAACTAAATAAAACATTATAAAGATAAGATACTATTCTTTATTACTCTACCCCAGTTTAAGATAGCTTATGTAAATGTCACAATTCTTTTGAAAATATCACAGTGTTTCTCAGAATTTTAAAGTGATTTTCATGAGGTCAATATGCATTGTTGAGTACAATATTCAATTCTATTGGACGCGGACGAGTACACACCTGCCAAAACTATACAAGATGATATATGTTATGCAGCTGTGTACACGTCCATTAAAGTCAGTATTGTTCTCAAAAGTATCTATTGACCTCTTTTTTCACACTACCATTTTTTGACATGTTTGTACCTTTGTTCTTTGAAGAACAACAAGAGTTTGACTCAAAAATGAAAACAAGGCTAGATGGAGTATGATTTGCAAATGATGTAGATTGTTTGGACTCTGAAAATGAGTGGCTAAACATAGTAGCAAAGTCAATCACATCATAATCACATTTTTATTTGAATTGGAAATATACAAACTGGGATATATGTTGAAAACAACTATGATTCTAAACTTTGAACAGATGCTTAGTATTCAAAATTAGTTTTGAATTCCATGTCATTTTAGATATTTAAAAAAAATGTTTTGGAAATAAAGATAATTTAAAGGCAGACCTGGGTGATATGATATATTGGGCCCTTACGAGCTTTGCTCATTTCTTATGATCTTTGTTTCGTTTTCATTTTTAAAAATGTTGTCTGGGTTATATTTAACTCATAATCTATATATGCTTTTCTTAAAATACGAACAGTTACCTTTGTTACAGCGGCGATTTCAACGTGTGTGGATTTAAGTCCAGACTGTTCGCTCTATGGCGGGGATAAAATTTGCCATGGAAGCTTTGTGCCATGGTCAAGCGTTTATTGTAAACAGACGTGTCATTTTTGTGCTACGGGTAATATTTTTATCATAAATGTTGTAGATATTTTGATGCAATTGACTAATAACTAAAATAAATAAAAAGATGATTTTGTATGGAAGCCTAAATACCACGTTGTTTACATTTTGAGACAAATTATTTCACATTTAACATTACTTTTTTAGGAAAACATCCATTTAACATGATCTAATATTGCTATTTAAAAAAATAATGTTTGCCTTTTCTAAGGAAGTAAAAATTCATTTGTTTCTGAGGGATAATATGCCTTTCAATTACTAGTTAACCCAAATGTTACAGATTCCCTTTAAAACTCAGTTAACACCTTAGAAATAAAAATTCAATAATAAGAATCGGTTAGAAAGAATATAAGGCAAATGATTGCAATCTTTTAGAAAATAACATGAAAATTCTTAGAAGGGGACATTCCTCACAAACGAAGAAAAACAAAAGCATTAAATTGACAGGATGACTCGATATATTGAGTCTGTTCTGGTAAAATTATGATAATGCAGCGTCTTTCAGGCTTTCTAGCACCGGTTTAAGCAGTTTTCAATCCACAAAAGTAAACTTAATTGAAACAATTATTCTGAAGGACCAAACAAATTGTAACGACACTTTGACTTTTAAATGTTAATAATACGATTGTTTAATTATATTGTTTTTTCTGGATTGAGTATATGTGAAATTATTGCTGGTAAAGAGTGGACAATTTGCAAATTGTATGCAGTATTTTATATTATACTTTAAATATCAGAAGTTTTGTAGATTTACAATAAGACTCAAATGAATCATAACTCTTGCATAATCTTTAATTGTTCTATATATTTTTTTTACCAACAAAATATTAAACTTCATAAAATAGAGAAAAACAGAATCCCTTAAGAATGCCAAACACGACAAAAAATGAATTGTTGCCGGTGTAACATTAAATTTTGACCCTGTTGAGAAATGACCCTGGGGTCAATTTTCAACGGTCACAGGGTCAATTCTCAACGTTGAATTTTGAACCACCTGTTGAATTTTGAACCACCTGTTGAAGGTGTTGAGAAATGACCCCGGTTCATAATTTAACGTTTAAAAATGACCCCGGTTCATAATTTAACATTGAAAAATGACCCTGAATGTTTATTATATTAGAAGGCACAGCATCTATAAATACGTTTTCAATCCTATCTTTTTAAAGGCGCCTAACTGAGCTACAAAAACAGACTTTGAGCTGTCATGGTCAATTGTGAAAAGATAACATTTGAATTGCATAAGAATTGTGAGGAAAATTGATTATTTTTGCTCTTCTGCATCAGAAGCTTTTGGTTTTTGGCATTCTTTGCAACATTTAAATTTAGTTTAATCATATTTTATTGCTTTTCTTTATGTACAATATAGATACAATTTCACATGCAATACAAAGTTATTTTCAAGAGTTTACATGTATGATGCAGTTTTTAATTATAAAGCAAAAGGGTCGGGCCACAAGTTTTAAAAAAACATTAGAGGGTTGGCCCTTCCCAATTAGTCTCAATAAAGGTAAAAAGATGTGCGTGAGTCTCGTTATAGTATTGATATTGATAATAGTATATATAAGCAATCAAAGAAAAATGTCTGGAAATAATTAATATGATGCTAAAAAAAACAGTGACTAAACATGATTTTGAAAGAAAAAAAAAAGACAATAGAGAAAAAAATGAAAAAAAGAGTAGAAGAAGCCGTGTGTCGAAGTTCCCGCCCGTCCGTTTTATCCTTGGTATGAATATAATAAATAAGGACAACAATTAAGAGCACTCTTTAGGAACTAGGATTTAAACATTTTGAAACCTTCTTGATCGTTTGATAAAAATTTGAACATGATGGAATAACATGTTATTTTCTTCATCACTAAGGTTATTGATACCGAATAATAATGTATAGGCACTTAAAGGATGGTAAGTACGTGTATTAATAAGGTACACCTCTGATCAGTATACAGTGGGCATTTGAAAAAGTAATGGTCAGCGTCTTTAGAACGAAAACCGCATTCACAAATTGGATTGTCGCGTAAATGGTTATAGTGTAAATCGGCATTAAGATTGCTACACTTATTTCTAATTCTTGTGTGGTAATTTGAAGAAACCTGTCACCTGTAAGAAAGTATGACGGAGCTTGAGGCCGAGAAAAAATAATTTTAAGTCTGGCTTTGAATGCTGAAAGTGACTATTACGAGTATCTAGGTCTAAACTATTCCATACTTTAATAGAAGAGGGTATAACTGATTTCGAATAAATTTCTAATCGTCGGACAACCGTTGCATAATTCTCGTTGTTTCTTAAACTATATGTACTATTATTACCAACTATTTCTGGGAAGATGTCGCTCAAATAACAGTATGTTTAAAAACAAGAATCAATTCTTGCTTTTTCCTTCTATCTGCAAGTGAGACCCAGCCAATTTCGCGTATGAGATTTTACGATTGATACTGATCTTGTTAGACCAGTCACAATTCGCGCAGCATCGTACTGAATGCTTTCAAGGACATTCTGTTCATACAAAGTACAGCTATCCCATACCAATGAGGCATATTCAATTATCGGTCTTAAATACGATATGTAAATTTGATTAAGCGTTTTCCTTTTTAGTTTAAACTTAAGCATTCGCATTGTACCTAGAATTCTAGAAGATGATGTTGTTATATTCGAAATATGTTGATGCCATGTTCCATCACTTAATGTTACTCCTAAATGCTTGTGTGAATGAACGAAATTAAGATGTGTATTTTGAAAGTAGATGTCGGGGGCATCGCGATTATTTTTTGACAGTGAAAAATACATAACTTCCGTTTTGGCAGCATTAAATTGTATTAACCATTGTTTTGCCCAGGCAGATTCAGGACCCTTTTCCCATCTTTGAACAGCATGTCGTTGTCATTAATTACATATCTTGCACATAACCGTCTGAAATTTCTTTTGTCAAAGTCACTTTTCATGCGGGTAGGGTACACTTTTTGTTGCAAATATGCAACTATTTCCTCGTGCATACTGTTTTCCGTCTCCATATTACCTAATTGCACGTGTGAAACCGCAATTAGTGGTAAACTCTTCAATGCCAGATTAAAAAAAAATACAGGTTTCCAGCGTAACTTTTTTCTCAAGTCTGATCATTTTTGGCGCCAAGTTAATACGTCATTACAGCACGCTTTTTGGTACTTCAAAGAATGCGTCGGCCTCTTTGATCTTCTAACGCGGTCTTTTTGATATCATTGTGTACCGCTTTTACCACTATTTTGATCAAATGGCGCCAAACGTAAACAAGAGTATCACGAGTCTATAGCCGCTCACCTTAGGAACGATATCGCCGTCAAAATTATTTTTGAACATTTTGAACTTTCATTCGTATTTTTCGTGAATATGAAATGCAAACAGACAAACAATACACTGAATGCCTGTCTGTAGCAGTCCAACATGCATATATATCATTCTGTCAAATACAAACTTTATAAATGTCCATGTGAAAAATTCAAAACTCGAAATTGTAAATACCAGATTGTCAGAAATGGAACATACGTATTGCATTCACGAAGGTACGGTGTACTGTTAGGGTCATCGTGTTTTCTCTGAGGACGGAAAACGCGAAGCATGACAGTACGATGGTGACAGTACGACAATACGATGGTGACACTACGACAGTACGATGGCGATAGTACGACAGTACGACAGTACGATGGTGACAGCGCGACAGTACGATTGTGACAGTACGACAGTACGATGGCGAAGCACGACAGTACGATGGTGACAGTCCATCGTACTGTCACCATCGTACTGTCGTACTGTCACCATCGTACTGTCGCGCTGTCACCATCGTACTGTCGTACTATCGCCATCGTACTGTCGTAGTGTCTTCTACATGACTTCTACAATTCAATGACAGTAACAATGCCTCGATTTTATTACAAGGGCTATTCTATTTTGTGTTAGGAAAGAAATTTGTGAATGGACATGTTTTACCTTTTCTACAATTTATTTTAGTTATTCAATAAAGGTTTACGTGTTTCAGTGTATTAAATTTTCTATTCTACTTTCGGTTTCTAAGGTTTATATATCAAGTACTTGCCCTTTATTACTTTTTTTTCTCAGGAATTTGCAACATTTTGAGCTCGACTTTTCCTACTCAACCCGACATCGTAAAGTTTTTCGTACCAACTCACTTTATTTTAAAATTACTAGACATGGCTTTGAAACTTTCGATACCTGTTTACCATCATAACCTCCATCTACAGACAAGTGTACATAACACTGTCAAGAGTTTTGACAGAATTATGAGCCTTTTTGGACTTACAAAGTGTATTGAGCTTGGTTAACACCTCACTTTATTTCAAAACCGTTACAAATACAGCTTTTAAACTAAAGATATGTACTTACCATGAAGACCTAATCAAAAGACAAGAGTATATATAAGTGTCTCGAGTGTTTTATAGAATTATGCCCAACCCTTTGAGATGGTGCTTGAAACTTTGAATGCTGCTTTAATCATTACCCCTATCTATAGACAAGAGATGATAACTCTGTCACGCATTACTTTAAAAAATTTAAGGACCTTGATCGACATATAATATTGCTTAAGTATTTCGTTCCACCTCATTTGATTTCAAAACAGTTTGAGATATTGCTTTGAAACTAAATCATACTTACTCGCCATCATGACATCCATCAACAGACAGGAGTACACAACTCTGTCAAGATTTTGACAGAATTGTGCCCCTTTTTAATTCAAAAATACATTGAATATTGCCCTCATCCTTTAAAGATACATGTTTTAACTTTGATTGCTTGTTTATTGGCAAACACGAAAAGTCGAGCGCACTGTCCTACTGACAGCTCTTGTAAGCGTTTTTCTTTGTAATATTAGTGTCCGTCAATTGAAAAGGAAACTGAATCAGTTAAAGTTGAAAAGATGCCAATACTGGAATCAAAGACAGGTGGAAGTGGCTATTTAGGTACATTTTAAATAAATGTTTCTATTAATTTTGAAGGCGATTCGAATTGCCTGTATATATAATGTTATTGTTGAAGCCTTCCTGAAACGTTTATTCTTTAAGACATTGTTTCCTGAAATGTAAGACGGCTACATTACTCAATATACATTAATTCACGAGTGAGACAATTTCATATTTAGGCAAATTCAATTCGAGTTTGAATAAGCCAAATGTTTAACATTAGCTAACAGTGGCGTCCTTGCGTGGTTAGTACTATGTATTAATTTCATACACATCAAATTAACCTGACTGGGCACAAGTTGGAATTTTAGCTTATTCGGGCTAAAAGATTAGAGATTATAGATTTTAATGGCAACAAAAAGTGAGTTACTCAACACGTTACTACGACAATGACAGATTGAAGTATTTACTATGTAATTATGGTTATCATGTCAAAAATATTTTGAAGAGGCTTCAAAATAACACCTCCTAGCTCGGGATTCGAACCCACTGCTTCCGCCAATGCAGAAAAAATGCTAATTACTGTAAATACTAAAAATGCTTGCTCAGCCTGTTCACACTGATACAGTTACTTACAAGTAAACATTCTTTTATGGTTCCAAGCCTATGCATTTTCCACGAAAAAACTACACATTGAATGTTTTCTTCGACAGACTGAGCTTGCAGGCAGTGGTGGGAATCTTGGCTGCCGTTCGTGCGCTAACGGAAGGCGACAGTACGATGGTGACACTACGACAGTACGATGGTGACAGTACGACAGTACGATGGTGACACTACGACAGTACGATGGACTATCACCATCGTACTGTCGTGCATCGCCATCGTACTGTCGTACTGTCACCATCGTATTGTCGTACTGTCACCATCGTACTGTCATGCTTCGCATTTTCCGTCCTCAGAGAAAACGCGATGGCCCTAACAGTACACCGTACGAAGGACAATTCATGTTTGTTTATAGGGGAGTAAGACTCTCGATTCATATATCAAGGAATAGGGGTTGGAATTGATGTCCTCGGAGTAAAGTAGCTTAAATATCATTGAATAGCTGCAGTTGATAAGCTGGGCACCATTTGACAGACGGGGTACACCATTATGTAAAGGTAATCTTAAAACAAGGTGGGTGCCAAATACTTTCTTCAATTTTCCAAACCTTAAATAACATATTTCACTTAAATTTTCACCGATATATTAAAAATAAGATTAATTTTAAAACTACAAAACAAAACACACAAAAATCAAGCCCCAAACTTAGGATGCTGCGTAAATGGGATAAGAGTAAGGGGCAGACACATAATTATGACATTTGCCGTCTGTATAGAGATATCATTTAATGTCAGCGAAATAAAAATGACTCATTTACGCTCGTTCATTAATGACCTGTTTCATGCGACGTCTCATAACTTAAATACTTCGATTTTATTGCACGATTTTAATATATATTCCCCAAATGTTGCTGAACTGTATTTTTCATTTGTTTTACCTACAAAAAGATTTAAAGGTAATGCAATCTGTGGAAACAACGGACGGACGCACCAACAGGCTTTAAGTTTACCCATTAATGCGTTTTGACGTTTCATACCTCCATGCACTTTAACCTTAAAACTTACATTCCAAATATCAAAAAATTGGGGTCACTTTTCAACGTTGAATTACGACCCGGGTCATTTTTCAACACCTTCACATTACTGATCAAAATTTAACGGGTGGGTCAAAATTCAACGTTGAGAATTGACCCGTGACCGTTGAGAAATGACCCAGGGTCAATTCTCAACGTTGAAAAATGACCCTCAGGGTCATTTCTCAACAGGGTCAAAATTTAATGTTACACCGGCTAGGTTTGAAGGTAATTGCAAGCTACGGTTACGCCGACTTGTTTTGAAAGAGCTATACTTTAATTCTAACTTCATGGCGGAATAAAATGGAAATAGTTTGAGCGGATGAATGGTGGACAGTTTATTTGATATTCTAGTTATGAGGAAAAAAACGTTCAAATAATTCTCTTCATATTATTTTAATATTAAATTTAATATTAAAGATTTGCCATCTACTGCGTTGTCATCTACAACGGACGGAACGGCAAACGACGACACATTCTAACAACGTATACACACAGCCGCCCACTGTGTCGACAGAAAATGTTAGTAACGAATTACAGTCCCTGGAACTACAGCAAAATCAGACCATCGACTTTTTCTGGTGAATTTCAAAAAAACATAATATAAGCCGCGTCACGACAAAACCAACATAGTGCATTTTGCCGACCAGCATGGATCCAGACCAGCCTGTGCATCCGCGCAGTCTGATCAGGATCAATGCTGTTCGCTTACCAAATCTGTTACAAGTAGAAAAACTGATAACGAACAGCATGGATCCTGATCAGACTGCGCGGATGCACAGGCTGGTCTGGATCCATGCTGGTCGCAAACGCACTATGTTGATTTTGTCATGATGCAGCTCATATGTACAATGCATCGATAAAACATTGAATTTATGAATCATACTTGTAAATTTTTCTTCTCTGCATTTGTATTTAGCGTACGTCTGCATACTGGATATTGACAGAATCAGCGAGGTACGGAAGCATGGAGAGGACATAGTCGATTTATTTTAATAATCTGTGGGAACAACTTATTTGTCGAAATATTTTTTATTAATCTGTGGGAACAACATGTTTTGTGAGAAAAATCTTTTTTTATTCTGTGGGAACAACATATTTTGTGAGAAAAATCTTTTTTTTATTCTGTGGGAACAACATATTTTGTGAGAAAAATCTTTTTTTATTCTGTGGGAACAACTTAATTTGAGTAAAAAAAAAATTATTCTGTGGGAACAACATATTTTGTGAGAAAAATCTTTTTTTTAATCTGTGGGAAACAACATATTTTGTGAGAAAAAATCTTTTTTTATTCTGTGGGAACAACATATTTTGTGAGAAAAATCTTTTTTTAATCTGTGGGAACAACATATTTTGTGAGAAAATCTTTTTTAATCTGTGGGAACAACTTATTTTGTGAGAATTTTTTTTTCATTCTGTGGGAACAAACTATTTTCTGCTATATTTTTTCAATATCTTGTTCCCTCAAGATAAAAAGTTGTGCGAACAAATTAATTATGTTGTTCCCACAACATAATTCAACCAATCAAAATAGCGATTGCCACAAAGAGTGACTGCAAAGTTAAGTCCCTTTTTAAAAAGTCGCCATTTGCACACAATTGCAATAATGGCAGAAGAAATGTTTAGAAAATTATTAGAATTCCTACGTTTTTCTGACAACAAGATGCAAGAATTTGATTGGTTGAATTATGTTGTGGGAACAACATAATTAATTTGTTCGCACAACTTATTATCTTGAGGGAACAAGATATTGAAAAAAAATATAGCAGAAAAATAGTTTGTTCCCACAGAATAAAAAAAAAAATTCTCACAAAATAAGTTGTTCCCACAGATTAAAAAAAGATTTTTCTCACAAAATATGTTGTTCCCACAGAATAAAAAAGATTTTTCTCACAAAATATGTTGTTCCCACAGAATAAAAAAAAGATTTTTCTCACAAAATATGTTGTTCCCACAGAATAAAAAAAGATTTTTCTCACAAAACATGTTGTTCCCACAGATTAATAAAAAATACTTTGACAAATAAGTTGTTCCCACAGATTATTAAAATAAATCGACTATGTCCTCTCCATGCTTCCGTAGCGAGGTCAATCTCCTGGGAAAATATTTTTTGTGCAAACAGTATTCATAAATCAACAAGAGAAACGAGCATGTTAGTTAATAAAAAAATAATCTATATTGCTTAATAGACATGCATTAGAAAATTTTTTTTTTTTGAAAATTCCGAAGAAAAAATTATTTTTATAAAATAGACTTCTTTTGGCAAAGGCTCCCAAGGGGAAAAAATTATCATTTCTGAAAAAAAAAAGTTATTTTAAAACCAAAAAAAAAAATTTAAATTGCAAAAAGGGACTTTTAATTTATGGAAATTTCAAAAATTTAATTTAAAACCAATGTCGAAGGAATTTTTTATTTTTTTTTATGCGCTAAAATTTGCCCCAAATCTCACTGACGAAGCGAGTACCGACACAGAAAATTCACGCTTTAAAAAGGAGCAAATTTACGAGTACTTTTTCCCAAAGGGCCCGGTAGCTGGATGCAGGGGCCCAAAAACAGACTGTCAAAAAGAAAAGGGGGGCATATTTTGTCCATAAAAAACGCTGGGGGAAAGAACAAGTTTTAAAATTTTAATTTTTATTTCAAAAGATATTTTATCCGAAACTATGGTTTTAGGACTAGTTTGATGGGGTTAACGAAGGGCAATAAAATTGGGACAGGGGGAAAATTTTTTTTTTATAAAAATACATGTGAAAACCGGTATGTTAAACCCATGCAATTTGCTTTTTTATCAAAAAATATCCATAATTATTTTTGTTAACTAAACTCTTTTTTAAAATTGATTTTAAATTTGTAACTATCATTAATAAGTTATTGGTATTTGGAAACTATTTGTTTTAAGTATTGATTAAATATATAAGAAAAACATCCATTTTAAACACAAAATTTTTAAATTTTAAAATTAAAGGGTTTAGTACATGTAACTTTAGAAAAGATTTTGGAAATTTCCCTTTATAAAATAACTGTAGAAAAAAACCCGTAACAAAAGCAAAAAAAAATTCAAAATAAGTTGGCCCAAAGGGGGGGAAAACCTTTTTTAAATTTGGGTTTTTTAAAGGGGAAAAAAAAAATTTTTTAAATTTTAAGGGCCTTTTTCCATTTTTTGTTTGTTTGGTTTGGCTGATAAGTAAAAACATTTTAAAATATTTTTTTAATTTGAAAATTTTAAAAGAAAGTGTTGTTTTTTAAATAAAGAACACGGAGAAAAATTTGAAATAAAATTTTTTTCAAAATTTTCAAATTTTCCCCTTTTAATAAAAAAGGTTGGGTTTTTTTTTTCCCAAAATTCAAAATGTTTAAAAATTTTGCAAAAAAAAAATTTTGATTTTTTCAAATTTTTTCGATACCCCCTTTAAGGGAAATAGGATAAAAACCCTTTTAAAAAATTGTTCGTTTTGTTTTTTTGTTTTTTTTTTATTTTGAATTAAACAAAATAACAGGATATTTTGATTTTTCCCATAATTGCCGACGGGGCCAGGGAAGTAAATTTCAGACTGAACTTGTTGTTTTATTTTTCTTTTTAGTTTAATGCCATCATTATCACCAAACATGTTGTATGCCCATAGGTGTCACAGTGAATTATACTAATTGGGCTCCCGGGCGATATGTTTGACCCAGTATCACGACCAGGAAGATTGTGTTGTTATGGTCGTTCTAGATATGGAAAATGGAACGACATTGATTGCAATGCTCTGGCGTTTTTGGGACACTTATATCGTATACTGGATATGTCAATACAGTAAGTTTTCTTGGTTTACCTTTTTTAATGTTTTTATAATTTTTATATGACCAGCTTCCATGGAAAACAACATAATGACGTTGCTCAACAAGCAACACACAGGCATTGTCATTGGCAATGAATATAAGCTGTATCCACAGATATTCATTACCAGTTTTAATGGTAAAAATTAAAGAGAGTAAATTATTTTTCAAGTACTCAAGTTTTGCGTTTAAATTGGAAGAATATCTTATGAAAATAGTGGGAAAATGCCTTTTTGTTTAAGGTAGGGTATAAATACAAAAATCTCATTTTCTCACCACTGTTTTGTGATAACCCACATCGTCTCAAAACAGATTATCAAGATTTAGATTTTTTTTTTCAGATTTGGAGACTCAAGTAACAAACACGACGTCCGATAAGCCAGGTATAATATTCCATTTGCATATTCTTTTTTTAATCTAACGAAGTATTTTGATGTGTGTGTATACGATAAAACAATTAATATAGTTATGGGTGATGGCAAATGCAGTTTAATAAAAATGCAAATTTTGCTTTAAAAGTTTAAACTATGTTTATATTTAAATACGTTCTTATGGTGGTCGGTAGCGTCCATTTTAAAACCCTCATTTAACCGCCAGATTATAAAATGTCGCCCCTTTAGTACCCGAGATACTATATTTATATATCCGAGAGATATTTTAGTATAAAGAAATGGAATGGTACTAAATGTCGCGAGCGCCACAAGAATAGAAACTCAACGGTGTAAGGTTTTTCCAAAAACACGTCGGGCGTTTGTCGAAAGAAACCGCGGACCTTTTCTATCTACACAGCAGATTTGGCCACGCAAACATATGCCGACTTTTGGCATGTTAGGTAGCCGATTGCGGCCATTATAATCTGCGATTTTTTGTTTTGATGCATACCTTGTAAAATGTCGAGTTTGAGCATTGAGCCTCGACTTTTATGAAGTGTCTCTTTTAAAAAGTGGCGGCAACTTTTTAAAACAATCGTGGATTTGTTACCCGCGACTTTTTATGAAATTCCGACTGTCCAGCGTGGTTTACCCGGAAATCAAATGGGATTTGGATGAATTAGAAAGAAATACGCGCAAAAGGTCGAAACTGAATATTGCTTTAACTCACCGCGATATTTTAGAGACCGTTGTTGGGGTCTATAATTTCTCCCATCGACTTTCTAGAATTTCTATAACACTTGCAAAAATTGGATTTCTTTCTGTTCCTCGACTTTTTATACACAAACGAGGGATCAAATGTAAAGTCAAACCACAGCCACTTCCTGCCACTGGAGTCAAAATGTTCCTTGCTGTTTCCAACAACTGTTATAAAATATGGAGGTTTATACTTTCCTCACGACATTATGTACGACTTTGGCAGATATTCTCAAGTTTGTAAGTTGCCCGCGACATTTTATGATTAAACAGTAAAATTTTAAAACGGGCTGATTTTAAACAGATTTGATCATTAAACATCACGAGGTACCTTTTGGAACAGTTAAGAACAAAAGGTAAAAATCAGACACTGACATGTACACACAACAGAAATACCAAATTAGGATGGTAAGGTACTGTTCGTCATGCAAGAAATAAAAACAAGTCTAAAAACATCACTCCGAGACACTTGGAACAATGTTAAAGTGTTGAAAGAAATGAAAGTTTGAAACAAACAGACAATAATATCTGGTAAAATTAGGTTTGTTGAATATTCTATAAGACAATAAATAAATTAATGAATTACCAAAATATTTTTTATCATATTTATAGATATCGTAACAAAAATGCGTCATAAGACACGTATGTTTACTGGAAGTCAAGGACCGGACCCGCTGCTTCTGTGCATGACGTACCGCATGACACCTATAAAATTAAAAATAGTGTAAAATAAGTTGCCTTCTGTCGTATTATTTGTATGTTTCAAGTTGAAATTTAAACAGATTATGTCTTCTCTTAAATATTTATAGTAGATGGAAATTGGAGCTCTTGGCAACAATGGAGCGCATGTTTTGCCACGTGTGGAACCGGAATTCGAAGTCGTACAAGAGACTGCAACAATCCAGCACCAAAACATGGCGGAAACGTTTGCTTTGGTTTAAGAAATGAAACTTCCACGTGCAACGCTAAAGATTGTCCACGTACTTAAATAATTTCTTAAATAATTATGCCAATCAAATTTGTGTTTATACAAATATAAACTTCGTATTTAAAAAAAAATCCTAAACAGCTATAGTCTTTTCCTTATAAGCGTTTACTAGCTTAGTCTTAAGCATACTTTTCGAAGGCATGCGCCCGTTTATCTAGATAGGCTCGACATTTTGATAGAAAAGCCAAATGAATGAAGTAGAAAATAGTTTATGATAACTAGACTGGCAGAATGTTTCAGACTTCTGCCTTCTCATTGAACGAAAAAGTAGGGGAAATACTAGAAGTGATAAAGATATAAAATCTACTGTGCTATAAGAGTTAATTATATAACGATCGATTAATTATGTGCAGTAAGATAGACAAAGGCATGATTCGTTGTGAAATAAAGCGTACATGCAATTATCATCCATTTCAGATTGGTTGCCATTTTACGAAGCCGCGCCTTGTAGCGTCACGTGCGGAGTAGGTTTTGTTCAGCTAAAGAGAAATTGCTCCACAGGCAACACACAGGATTGTCATGGCAATGAATATAGTGAAAAATCTTGTCACCTTCAAGATTGCTCCAACTGATATTTTTGAATTACATGTATATTATTCAACGATGATAGTCTTTATATAAAATCTTTTAAAAAAACATATGAAATTTATGCAATAGACTAAATAAATTGTCATTATATATAGAGCAGGCATTGATTCTAACATTTTTCAATGTAAAGAAAAATATTTAAAAAGGATAAAACCCAAAAACAAATCGATATTTTTTATAGAATTATCATTACATCGTCATGAAAAGAATAAATACATGTCTAAAACCATCACTCCCCATGCAAAAGAAGCACACTATGAACCTTGAAAAGTGTTTGAAGAAATGAAAGTTTTTCTTGATAAAAAAAAGCAATGGTGATTATTGATAATATCTGGTTAAATAAGATTTTTTGAGTTTTTGAGACGAGAGACGAGAGATTATCAACGATTTCTTTACAAATACCTAAAAGGATAAGCAATGATAGTAAAATTAAAGAAACATTGCAGACTGTTTGACTATTTTTCTTCGTGAGATACAATGATAAAATGAACATCTCTTACATTCCATAGCACCAGTTTATGTATTTTAATATTTACCCGACGACACTTTGACCAAAATCAAACTAAAACAATGTTGAAGACTTAAATTTATTGTAAACAATTTTCATCTAAACGATTACACGTTTACAGCGTTTGTATAATGAATTTGACAGGCCCTTTAGATTTATCTGATATGGTTTACATGCGAAATGTGTCTTATAAACACAATTACAATCCTATCGTTAAATAGGTCACATACGACGGTTTGTATCTAAATAGCAGTTCAAACAACATTGCTATAAATAAAGCAATGTTGGCTTATAAATGCCAAAGGCAGTCGTACTATACATGTTCACGACCACTCCCAATTTTTTGGATGAATTAAATATTTTTTTATTCAGAATGCTTTTAAAACATCAACGTTTTAGTAAAATCATAATAATACTATACAAAAATACTTTATTTGTAGTAATATATGAATGAAATAAAAGAACAACTTTTTTTGTTGTTTTACGAAAAGTTGATGTTTTTATAACATTTTTAAAAAATAAACATTTAATGTATAAACATGGGAGTGGTCATGTACATGTGTATTATCCAAGCCACGAACCGATTGCTTTCGTTGACTTTATCGTATATTCATGTTTTCGCATTTTTTTTACGTTATTGAGACAAAAAAGCGAAAGGTCGATAAAATAAGGCAAAATAGTAGGACACATAAAATAGATGTGTTTTCGCATAATCATATACCTACAGCAAAGGTTAAATTAAACGAGTACGAGGTTATTCATTTACTGAAACTACAAAAACTACATTTTTTTTAAAAATAATATAAACATTTTATTTTCACTTTATGGTATCACATATAAACTCCGATTATAGACATAGAAAAATTTGATACTTTTAAAATGTGTGTTGTTAAGACTGTAAACTTTTTTGTTATCTGTTGAAAATTAGATCACTTGTCACCTTATCACACACATAGATTTACCACGACGAAGATGAAACGGATAGTACATATAGGTAAAAAAATATTGTTCTATTAAAATCTCAATGTATTCATAAACGTTCATTGCCTCGATTCAATGGTAATTATTTTCCTACTTTGGTAAAAGAAAGGTACAGCGCTTTTCAACATAAAGCACTGAACAATGACTTATAGTTCACTCATAACTATAAAAAGTGTCTGGGATTAATTTGGTTAATAATATAATAGGTCAATACACGAGTTCTTATGGAAACGTCCTATATGCTAATGATAAGTTGTTATTAATGGAAAAGTTGTTATTATTCGATATAAAACACATCTGTCTTATAATTAAATTACTGTTTAATCACAATTGGCTAACCGTAAAGTAAATTTTAGCTTATTTATTCTTTTCTATTTACTATTATTTAGATATATTGACTGCTGAACTTTAGGTTTATTAATTGATTCTCGAATTGTCTACAGCACATTCAACCACGTGACCCCTCGCCGTTATGGAATCGAATCCCGCCAGGGACCTTGAGTTCTGTCATATAAGGAAGCTAGTTTGTTCTACTCAGGTGTTGCTCGTGCCTTAAGGAAGTGGCCCTTGAGGTCTTACTCAACCACTAAAGCTTGAAAGTCACAATGTGACCATTACAGTGTCGATGTGAAAAATAAAAAAATCATGTAAAACTCTAAGATCCAAGATACTCGCTGAAAATCGTGAGATAAAATCTTGTCAATCAGCCTGCATAACATTATATCTGCTGATAATCTTAAATTACACACCATTTTCATAATTAGATTTGAAATTTTGTTTCAGTGGAAATGGGCGGTGGGGGGGGGGGTCATGGACGAAAACATCCGCTAATTACTGATCGATATCTTATCAGAAAATATTGTTAATGTGTAATGAATATGAATATTTGCATTTTGATTTTTTTTTCAGGCTATATCCTGCTTGGATTTATTTTACTTAACACAAAAGGTAACATTCTTACGGAGCCCCCTAAGGTGACATTTTAACACTTTTTTCCCCGAAACTTAATTCGTTTTTACGAAATAATAATTTGTAATTACGAAATAATAATTCGATTTTTACGAAATGTTAATTCTCTAGTTTTTATATTTACGTGACCCCCCCCCCCGGAACTTAATTCGTTTTTACGATAAAATATTTCGTCATTACGAAATAATAATTCATTTTTACGAAATATTAATTCGTTTTTACGAAATATTAATTTGTAATTACGAAATATTAATTCGTAATTATGAAATATTAATTCGTAATTACGAAATATTAATTCGTAAAAACGAAAAGATATTACGAAATTATTACGAATAACATTTTTTAGGGTTTCAAAGAATTTTGGTAATAGTTATTAATAAGGCCTCGAAACTAAGTTCCTGACTGAATATAAGGCATGTAAATGTAATATAAATAGTGATATTTTTTCCTCCCCAAGTTTTATAACTAAACACTTTTGTATATTAATTAAAATAATCGTCCTGCAATAGTGTTGCGGCCACAGCCGTGATAGTACACGCACTAGCAAACTTTTCTTAAAATGGGTGTCCTGTGCTTCAAATCCAAACACGGACATTTTTTCTGTTTCGTTTAGTCAAAAATATTGAGTTTTGAAATAAAATGTTATGTTTTTATGATCGCACAAAAAGTAAAACAATGCTGATATGAACATATATTTGACAGTGGGGAAAAAGAGGCCATTTTGGATAGAGAATGACTTCTCACTCAAAAACACTGTTCACTTAAATATAACAACTTTGGAACCATTCGGCATATAATCGCAAGGTTGATCCAGACTTGTAAATGATCCCTTTTTGCATTTGTGAGATTAGTGGGTTATTTGTCAAGCTCACAATGACCTTTAATAAGATTTCGTAAAAAAAAATTACATTTCGTTATTACGAATTTATAATTCGTAAAAACGAATTATCAATTCGTAATTACGAATAAATATTTCGTAAAAACAAATTAATATCTCGTTATTACGAATAAAGGTGTCCTTATTACGAATTAATATTTCTTAAAAACGAATTAATGGCCGGGAAAAAAATGTCACCTTAGGGGGCTCCGTAGGCAGTAAACGCCATGTTTTCAAAATCGTGAAAATCACCTACGCAGTATTGGGAAAGCTCGCCGGTGATTGGCTGTTTGAATGGTCACGAGTAGTCAACCTTTTATTTATGCCCGTCAGATCCTTATGCAAAGCGTTTATCAGGAGCTGATTTTATTTAGATTGTAATTGGACTTGAGGTGTCAAATTATATTGTTTGAATTATGGCTCACCATGACATAAGGTCTCATCAATTTTAAACAAAACTGTTGCTTCTTTTCTTGATATATCAATCACTTTATGTTTGAATACTTGACAAACAAGTAATAAATAGTTATAGTTAATGCTTCAACTATCATAATAAATAAAGTTTAAAATATTTGTATACAAGCACCCGATAATTTCAAAGGGGCTGTCAGAAAACATCCGGACTTAAAACTCGAAAACCAATCAACATTTCTCACACATTCTTTATTCCTTTTTCTCCACTTATAGCCAAGCACTTCACTGAAGCTTAAACGCTATCCCACTAAGAACCACTAAGAACCACGACGTAGATATATACTTTACGTACTATTTAAGAACAAAAACCGATCTCGTCCTCGTCTTTTTTTTCATCCAATTTGTCAGTTCTGGAAAACAAATAAAGACACAATTTGTTATTGCACTACGAACGTTCTTTGCAAACACTTTTTAAGTGAGGCTTTTTGAGCTTTGAGTTGTATTTTGAACTCACTAGCTTTTTTCAACACAAAAAGGCATTGATATTCATTTCATCAGATAATTAAGTTGTATAAGATGGTTTGTTTTTATATTTCGGACATGTTTCGAAAGATATTATTCCATTTAATATATACACGTGTATATGGTTATATTGTCTCAAGTAAAACATTAACAACTGTAACGATTGTAATATACATTTAGAAATAAAGACGGAACAAGTAATCTATAAAAAAAATTCCTTATACATGTACATATGGTTCTTTTTTATTTTCAAGTTGCTGATTGTATCACATGCTTAAGCTGTCACAATATCGCAGACTTAAGTAACTGCAAAGAAGCCATAGTGTGCACTGCTAACCAGGTAAATATTGAATCAAACTATGTCATATCAAATAGTATAGTTATCTGATGTAAGCAAACATCATCGTTTTAATCCTTATGTCCTTGTCAGTGTTTCTTATTTCTATGATAAAACATCAAAGGGTTAACGTAAAATTGACTAAAACCTTTAAGATTTTAGAGATCATTCTTATTAAAATTTATATGAACATTTAATTTTGTTACAATAATTTAGTCATCATATTGATAGGAAAAGTTGCGATTGATACTTACGAAGTAAGTTTTGTGATTCAGACAAATTCAGTGCCTTCAGTGCTTTGATTTTGCTTACATTTACAGACATGCTACATAGAAAAAATACTGTCTCCAGTTGACTTCAAACCGGTTTACAATACTGGATGTAAGGAATTGGATGTAAGTCATATTGTTCATTAAGTTTTATGTATGTGGCTTTAAAAAAATAGTAGGACATATTGTTTTATTATATATCCTAATAAAATTGTCTCTATCTATTGCACATAATACGTCTTGTGATTCGGAATGACGTTGCTGACGTCATGATATTACGTTAAAGAAGAATATATAATTTGAAAACGTGGAGGAATAAAATTGAATAATTATTTTTAAGCAGATCTTATTTTAACTGAACATGTGTTTAATGACCATAATTTAAACATAATTAACTATTGAAAGACTATGTTTCAACTCGTTTATGAAAGAACAGACGATGGGAAATCTGGGATCCTCTACCAGCACATGTAATGACAGAAAACAATCTTCTTACTTTATCTAAACATGTACTTAATAACCATATTTCAAACATAATTAACTCATAAAAAGGCAATGTTCATTCATGCAAAAACAGAGGCAGAGATACCTTGTTTTACTACTGACACATGTAAATCTTTGTATATGACTTAACAAAATCGGAAAAAACCCAACTTCTCTAACAAAATATATACTTAAGATGTAATTTATTTCAGTATTGCAAATTACAATTATGTAATAAGAACGCATACGGTGACGGGAATTCGAGGAAGAAACGGGTAGACAACGATTTAGTGCTATGTTCCGAGTGCTGCTTCCAGGATAGCTGCAATGCAGAAGGATGCGGTTATAAACGTAAGTGATAAAACAGGAGTAATGTTTAACACTTCACTTTCTTTATATCCTTTCAATGAATTTGATTATTCTCTTTTATTTAGGTAAAAATTTACAGGGGAAATTTTGATAGAATTGTTAAAGTGGCTTAAGAGCAGGCTACTTTGAGGTTTAGAAGAGAATCAGGCAAGTTTTGGGGAAAAAACGAGGAATACTCTACAAAGTAGGTACAAGTTCATTATGTGTTCGGTGCTTAAATGGTATCAAATCATTCAAACCAGAACACACAGGAAAAGGACACCAACTCTGCGAATTTCGTTAAAAGGTGTGACAGGAGGCAGTTGGTGGGGTTGGGGGTGATGGTAATAAACAATAAAATTAAAGAAACAAACACAAACAAGTATCAAGTATTCAAAAACATTGTGTTAGTAATGGCATAAATTTTTCAGAACCATCGAACAACATCACGCAATGTTTTAAATGTGACGAGGTTTATATGGGAGGACCACAGTGTACAGAAACCGAAGATTGTGATCTGCAACAATACGTAAGTTTATTAATAGAAAGCGCGTAAGTTAATAGCTAAACCGTCAATTGAATATTTAATAATTAAAACAAACATTACATATATCATTAGTAACATAGTGCGTTAAGTTTATAAATAGCTAATGTATAAAGTTTATTGATAACTATTGCGTTAAGTATTTAAGTAGGTAGTAAATGCATTTCGTTTTTAATAGTTTATGCGTGTAATATATAAAATAATTTAGTAGATAAAGTTTGTAAGTGCGATCAGTTTATAACTACGTAGTGTACAAATCTTAGTTCGTGAGTTAAGTTTATAAATATATAGTGTATAAAGTTTATACAAACATAGACGTGCTTTAACTTTAAAAGTAAGAAGTGTATTGAGACAAAGTTGGACTGTATAAGCATAACAGGACTGGCATGTTTGATTTTCTGTGTGTTCTATTTTGACTTTTACTGTTATAATTGTCTTTCGTATTTAAGCTAAGTTTTGTTCCTGTACTTTTGACTTCATATTTCTTTTTACAAATACATAATTTTATATTGACATAAATCCATGTTTGTCCATGTTATGTCACACCTTAGCTTTTAATCTTTAAAATTGTTTTCTATTGCCAATGTTTTGCCTAACTTTGTCTTTGCGTGTATGTAAATGTATCATCTTACAGTTACCTTGTATGTTTGTCAATATCTTACCGTACTTTGACTTTGCGTGCTTGCCAATGCCTTATATTTAATAAGACCTTGAATGTTTGACAATGTTTTGCCTTATTTTTACCTTGAAACTAGGTCAATGTTTGTCTAACTTTGAAAAATGCTTTATCTTATATTTTGACTTTCTATGCCTGCCAATGTCTTGTATAATTTTCGACTTTGTATGATTGTCACTGTATTGTCTTATTTGACCTTGAATGTTATTCAATGTCTTACTTTTTTACCTTGTTTGTTTGTCATTGTCTTGAACTACTTTAGTTTGTATGTTTGTCAATTGCTTATCTTTCGTTCTAACCTTGTGCGTTCTTACACTCACTTTGTATGTTTGCCAATGGTCTGACCTACTTTTACCTTGTACGTTTGCATTATTATTGTCTAAATTTTTGACCTCGTACTATCGATGTCTGGTATTCTTTTCTTACTTTGACCTTGTATATTTTCCTATGTATTGACTTACTGTTACAGTTGAGGTATTCAACGCTTTGTCTTACTTTTAGATCGTGATTGTTTTTCATGTATTGTTATATTTTGACTTTGTGACTTTGTGTATTTCTTTATTTACTTTGACTTTTATCCCGTAAATGTCTTGTGTTACTCCGATCTTATATGTCTGCCAATGTCTACACTTACTTTGACCTTATATGTTATCGAAACTTTAATTTATGCTTTTCAATTCCAATTGATTTTGACCTTGTTTTTTTGTCAACTTTTTGTCGACTGTGGCCCTTTTTTTAGCAACGTCTTGTCTTATTTTACATTTTTGTTTGGGAACGTCTTGTCTTACTTTGACTATTCTTGCTTGTCAAAATCTTGTCTCTCTTATTTTGACTCTTTATTCGATATTGTGTTTTTGCGCATGATGACTTTGTATTTTTTACTGACTTGTCTTATCATTTTTGTTTTTTGGTCTGATACAGTTTGAAAATATGATTTCCTATTTTTATTAATTTTCATTTTTAAATGCTCGTTTAAAAAACTGTCGTTTTATGGGAATGCCCATGATTTAAGGGAGGCGTTCAATTTGTCCAGAAGATATCTTCTTCATGTTTGAAAAATCAAAGTAGTACCTAATATCAATCTTCACCAAAAGAGAGTGCAAATCGGGTCTGTAGGTCAAAGGTCACGATTACACGGAAAACGCTTGTCCAGAGCAAAACCTTCACATGCATTTAAGTGTTTCTTGATACAATTTTTGCCATTTTAAGGCGTAATGAACCACGCAAAATTCATGTTTATGGAGCCAAGGTTAATTTTACACTTACAGGTCAAATGTCAGGTTAATGTATGAAAATATATGTATGTATGTATTGAGATTTTCAGTATCCCGAGTGGTACACGTCAATACAGTAACTGTTTACTGAATATTCTTAAATGTCCATAATTTGTCTAAAGCAGATATTCTGCGTAATAATCAGATGCTTGTAAGAATATAAAATAAAACAAATGAATAGCACAATAGGAGCGACGTATGAGCGCGCAAAATATTTATTTCTCTGTGACCAGCGTCAGTGTCATTTTAAGATATTAAAGGACAGGTGAAAGTGTTATACTGTGTGTACAAACCATTTAAATTCATGAATTTAGTAATTATGTCACAAATGTTCACAATCACAAGATTGAGCGTTTAAGGTCATGTCACTAGATATTTTAAAATGTCTAGATTTCATCCGCACAATATTTCCCGAATTAAAATGCCATAGGTCATATGTCAGATAAAAATAAAAATAAATGTTTGTACAGAATTGAGGGACTCTAACACAACCTTTTACCAGTATGAGATTGATCAATACATGCATAACCCTTGTCTATATCTATATGCAAGGTAAAGGTCAAGAGAGATTTGTGCCCGAAGTATCTTCTACATGCATAAAGGGAGCATGTACAATAGTACTTAATTTAAATGCTACCTTTTATGTATCTTAGTGTTACGCCCGCGCTTGAAATAGTTCATTAGGTCAAAGGTCAAGGTCAAAGCTAAAGGACAAAGGAAAAGAATTATGTCATGTAAAAAAATCAGGGCCTTATGTGAATAACAAAGATGTGCTTATTTTATAACAATGTCACACCTGCTTATTTTGCTCATGTAATATTATAGTAAGAGTTTTCCTTTATATATAAAAATATTAATTTCGATTAGCTAGTTTGGTACTTTTCTAAGATATTCTGTGGTTATGTGTGGAATCTTGCAGATATTTACGACCAAAATTATTTTAACTGAAATATTTAGACATGCATATTGTTACATGTAAAAATTATGTTTATTTTCATTGATAGACATGCTCTATCACAAATCATCCCAATTCACATAGACCTGGTGCATATGAACTCGGGTGCAAATTTAAAAGAGCGGTAATTATTAAGTTTATTATAAGTTTAATCATTATATCATTCATTCATAATTAAGAATCTAAGCATAATATGACAATCAGTAATTTTTAGCATTTCATCATTTATTATTTGCAACGGTCTGTAATTAAACTAGCTGACATTTGAAGATCCAGATAGAACCAGACCAAGTAATTAAACAAATATTCATATTTTATTATGGATGGATATTCCACATACAGCAGTCTGATATATTCATACAATTAACTTTATATATTTATCTAATAACTTGATATACAAACATTTATTTAAATAAGTTAACTTAAAGTATTTTCTTTGAAATAATGAAATTACGAATTCAATGTAAGAATCTAAGAAAAAAAAAACACTAACATTTGATCACATTTGCCATCACTTACCAATTAGATAATTTATCTATAAATGGTTTGTGTTTGTCAGCTGTCTATCAAGTAATTATCTATATCACTGGGTAGATTTTCAGTTACAAGAAAATGCGAAATACATGTATTTGATATGTATAAAGCTATATCAACTTACAGACATATCCCATGTGTTTCCAATTATTATCGCATATAACACGGCCATCGTAAAGGCTTTTAAATTGCTATCAGTTAAAGTGTATTATCTAGAAACTAAAAAAATATCTTGTTATACAGATAATGATCAGAAACTTAATTGACTGGTAAACTAACACATGTGTTTTATAGATAAACAAAAATTATTATTAAATGTTGGCATTTGTGGGCACTTTGCAAGTTAGAAACCTACATTGTATCCGTCAGTAAACAGGAAAATATGCTAATTTATCAGATAATTTGCAATTAAATATAGTTAACGTGATTGTAGAGTTTCAATGTCGACAAAAATATGCCTCCGTATTTTATGAAGCAATATGTTGTTTGTTTTGTATGTGAATGCAATGTATAGAACATTGTGGCGCCGTTATATGTCGCAACGCCGCTAAATGTCTCACTTACGGCTAAATGTCGCACCATTGCCGCTAAATGTCGTAACCGCCGCTAAATGTCGCAAAATCATTTGCCGTTAAATGTCGCAATGTTAACGTTAAATGTCGCACGAATTTTCCCTACCGTTAAATGACACTGCCCTTATATGTCGCAAGATATAAATTCATGTAAAAATCATGATTAAAAGTAGTAGTATTTTACTTTTTAACGCTCTCATAGTTATTTTTACTGTAATTGCTATTTAACAAAAGTATCTTTGTTTTAATTGTTTTCTTTTATGAACCTAAATATCGAGGTTTTGAGCTGCTATATAATGTAATATTGACGCTAGAAAGCGTATTCTAGAAAGATACAATTGAAAATCAAGTCTCAATAGATAAGTATTTTTCTTTTGTCTTTTTCATTTATAAACCTGATTGACAACTTCTTAAAGGTATTATGATATTGTCGCGATCAGAATTCGGTTTAAGTAATTTCATTGATTTGAAGACCTTTTTTTTCTTGGGCGGTTTAAGCCCCATTTACACAGTCCCGGTTTGGTGTCCCGGTTTGCCACGGTTTAGTCAACCGGGATCAACCGTGGTAAAACGGCGTTGGGCCGTTGAAATTCCGTAAAGTAAAACCATGGTGAACCTGAACAAACTGAGAGATCGCCACGGTTGTTTTTAAATGTTTAATACAACCGGGGCTCACCAGCACTCACCGGGAGGAATCCCAAAACAGTGTTCCATCGGCTTCGAACAGGGAATTGCCGGGAAACCACTGCATCCATACCGTGACAAATCGTAGTAAACCGGGATGCGTGTCAAGCAAGCCCCGGTGATGACACGATGTTCAAGCCACGGTATAAACAGGCAGAGCTACGGTAGAGCCAGGGTACATTGAGGTCACTGGCAACAACGCTCCGGTTGGAGCCGGTAATGTCACGGATATTGCCGACAAGTACGGTTATAAAACAGTGATAGACGGTGGTGTCACGACATCATGCCGATACCAGGCAATTTAAAGAACAGGAATATATAAACTTGAAGTGCTACTTTGGATCATTTTGTTTAGAGAAGGAACACGAGCATGGACAATTTGTTAAATAAGAGTAGGAAAAAATCTTCAGCTGGTGCATTTTCAGCCTCAGGTATCTCAACCTCTGAAGGTGTTGTAAGCACAGTTTTTTTCTAACTTCCATCCCCTTTCCATCGGATGGCATCTCTGCTGTCTTTTTACCAAATGACTGATGTCAACGTGGTCAGGCAGTTTTATTCTCATAAATTTGAACCGGAAGCATCGGCGCATTACCTGACGTCTCCGGCACAGAACCGGCATCACTAGTAATGTTACCGTGGCAAAATTGGCGATTGTCGGGATGGACCGTGATGAAACCGTGTCTAGTCGGGTCTCCACCGGAATCAATCGGGAATACATCGATTTAGCATCGGCGCTTATCGTATATATCCGGTGCTATATCGGGTTCTGAACTGGGAATACACCTGGGCTCTGTCGGGGGTGTGTAAACGCAATTTGATTTCTCAGAAAAAACACTACGGAACACCCCGGCTCACCGGGTATAAGACACAGTAGCGATACCGTGGCCATTACCTGGACCGTGTTAATTTGGGCTTTATCAAACGGAACCTGCAACATTTTCAATTTTGCTGTTTTGGACTTTCTTTAGGGGTTCTTTTTTTCTTTATTTCATCAATGACTGATGTTCCTCAACATACATCTGAACAACTTAAGTATTCAAAGAAAATATAGCACCCAAATCCGCTGATCCGGGGCCCAAAGACCAAACAATTTTCATACAGTAAACCAGTGACATAACAACTAAGCTGATGCCTATTAAAGATAAAAATAAAGATTATACTTGAATGTCAAATATGATATCATTTAATTGTGGTTACTTTGTTTCGCTAATATGTTTGTTTATACAACCGCAGGCAATGCATTTAAATTTAATAGACTACAATGTACAGTTAATTTCAACATGATAAAAGTTCAAATCTAATGTTTACTTGTAACGTATTGTTAGTTAGGAGCTATTTTATTAATCAGGTTGCTGTAAATTCTTACTATAATCAATATACACGCGGTTGTTATCTATCTTTCGATAATGTCAAACCCCTCGCGGGGACGTAGACATATAAACGTGTTATAAGAACACGATAAAAATGGTTAACTTGGGTTTTGACATTGTCTTGTTTTGAAATGATCAACGGGTTTAATGTTTGATATGATTGTATATCATATGCCATTACTTTAAGCTATTGTTTAACACAATATTTGCATTTATATCAAAAGGTATCTGTATCTGTGAGGGTACGTCGTAGCAACCGAAATCTGGCTTAAACACGACGGTGGGGGGAGTGCGCCTAAGTCACAAAGTTTTATGGAGGTTTTGAATTGTTGAACTGTTGATGAACACACTTGAGAGTCACTTAATTTATTCCAGTCTAACACGGTTCTGATGAAGAAAGAGTTTTTGTAGTTTTCTGTTTTTACATATACTGGTTTGTAGCACTTTTGATAATTACACACTGATTTTTCCACAATGTTACCACTTATATGGTCTCATATGATTTAGCTCTTACAGATCGTCTATTGCCCTAAGGAGTTAGGTATTCCCGTATGTTAATTGCCGGTACTTCAACTACCTTATAGGTGAAGATAAGCCGGTGTAATCTTCTGCGTTCTTGGAGGCTCGGTAATTCCAATTGTTCCAGCATTGATGTTACGCAGCCTGGATTCCTAAAAGTATAGTTGTTAGTGATGAAACGAGCGGTTTGCCTTTGTATACGTTCAAGTTTATCAATTTCGTTTTTGGTATAAGGGTCCCAGATAGTGCATTCTATTCTAATTTTGAGCGGACTAAAGCTAGATAAGCATTTTTGCGGCATGGTTTTAGACAATGGGCGTAGTTCCTTCTTAAGAATCCAATAGACGAGTTAGCTCTTTTACAGATGTACTTATATGTGTCGACCACTTCATATCCTCCGAGAAAGTAATACCAAGGTATGTTATTATCAATGTTGTAAAAATGCATAGATTTTTACTTCGAACTCGGCAGATAACATTTTTTCGCTAAATTTCATCCCTCATGTAGATGCCCAGATTTGGAGATTGTCTATCTCTTTTTGAAGTTGAAGATGGTCTTTTTGAGACTTGATTTGGCGATACAGTAAACAATCATCAGCAAATAACCTCACTTGTGATTTTACATGGTCCGGAAGGTCGTTAATATGTAATAGGAAGAGCAATGGTCCCAACACTGTACCCTGTGGGACTCCAGAACCCATATTTACTGACGATGATTGTTCGCCTTCTACGACAACACTCATCTTTTCCTGCATCAAGAAGTTGGCAATCCAAGTATGTAAGTTACCTCTGATGCCATAGGAGTGAAGTTTGTGAAGAAGCTTTTTGTGGGGAACAGTATCGAAAGCTTTACTGAAGTCCAAAATGATAATGTCTACTTGTACGTTATTATCATACATGGACAGAAGATCGTGAGTGGTGACAATTAGTTGAGAAGCCGCTTCGAAAGCCATGATTCAATGACGTAAGTGCTTTAAATTTTTCCAGATGGTCCAAGATGTGTCGACAAATAATATGTTCCAGTTGTTTGGAAAGAATGCAAGTTAATGAAACAGGTCGATAGTTTCTGGGAGGTGTGTGTCTCCTTTTTTGAAGACCGGTGAAACGAAGGCATTTCTCTAATCGGAGGGTAAATTTCCCGTGTTGATAGATATTTGGAATATAGTTAAGATTGCTGGTGCTAGATCTTCTGCACAATCTTGAAGAACTTTTGTTGGTAATTCATCAGGTCCGACTGCTTTAGATATATCTAGGTTCTTATGAAATTTCAAAACGCCACCGGTAGACAGAGCTGTATTACTGGTACTGGTACTGGTACTGCAGTACGTACTGCAGCGATTTTGCAAGTACTGGTACTGATACTGAATTACTCTTACAAAATTTTGCTACTACTGGTACTGGTACTGCATTACTGTCTTAAAAAGTGGTACTGCTACTGCATTACCCAGTACTTTTGGATTTGATAAAAATTAAAAATAGCATCAAAAATAGCATAATTTGCTGCAATATTCCTTCAAATGTTAACATAGTATTCATCATAAAAAGCACCAAAGACTTTAAGTAAAAATTAAATTAAGCACCAAAGACTTTAAGTAAAAATTAAATTAAGATAAACAGACTCAATAACTCTTTACCCTAAAATATCCTTACTAAAATCTGTTATTACTTTGTATTTACTAGTAAAAGAGCAAAATTAACACTAATTAATTTCTTCTATTCTAAATAATCCCATTTCAAGTGAAAAAAGTGATATTGTTAGCACCATAAAAAGTTGTTATTTACTTTGGTATAAATTGAACAGAGGTGTGAAGGTGTGAAAGGCAACAAAAGACTGTGGTGCTTTAAATGAAAGATGTTTGCATTGTATTTATACAGTTGACTGGTCACTAAACAATTAGATATGACATGAATATATGTTGTAAATATTGTTTGTAATAGTATGTTAAAACTATAAAGTTGTAAATATGTTATGTTAACTTTAAAGTAAATTATGATTTTATTTCTTTGCTGAATAATATTTGCAATTATTTGTTTGACACTGGAGATTCAAACTTTGATGAATATATAAAAGTAATGGTACTGATACTTAATTACTTCACCAAAAAAAGTACTGGTACTGCAGTACCGAGCTAAAATCTAGTACTGGTACTGGTAATGGTACTGCATGATTTGCCAAGTACTGGTACTGGTACTTAAGTACTACACCCCTAGTACTGATGCAGCTCTGCCGGTAGATATATTTAGGTTTGGTAATATTTCTTCAATACGAATAGGAAATTCCGGTAGGTTCACATTTTCATCTTCTTTGGTAAATACTGATTCAAAATGTTTTACTAGTATTTCTGCTTTCGTTTTACTATCACAATTCAAATGGCCTTTATCTTTGAGTGGCGCAACACCAACTTTATCTTCTTTTCTTGCTTTCACATAACGCCAAAATGGTTTTGTGTTATTTGTTTTAAGTCCTTCATTTATTACATCATTTACATGGTTCCATTCTGCTCTTCTCAATTCTCTTTATATAAGGCCCAATTTCTTGTTGACTTGACTTTTTAAAACAGTCTGGCTTTTCGTTTCAACATTTTTTTAAGTTTTCTGGTTAACCAAGGGGATGAATTGTTCGATTTCTTTACACGAGACGGAATGTTCTTGTCTATTGTCTTCTTCAAATTGGACTTGAATGGACACTGCCTTTCTTGCGTTAAAATGGAAATAAAAACACGCAAATATAATAAAAGCATATTAAACTGTTTGTGCAAATAACATTTTTTATGCTTTCAAAACTGATTTTGTTTATCTACGTTAACTTCTGTACCAGATTCTATCTAACACATACCAGGTTGTCTCCTCAGGATGCTAGGCTGCCGACGTTAGGCTTCTAGAGCGTTATGCAAACTCCTAAGGCCCATGTCGTCAGCAATTTAGACTTCCTCTTCCGACTGCGAGACGATTTGCCTCCTCGGCCTACTAGGCCATCATACTGCCAACTCGTCTCGTTTGCACAAAACTATTTACAGAACAATTTTTATTTTGCAGTTTCATACAAATGGTAAACAATTGTATAATTATCAATATGTACTTGTATAAGATCAGGTAAAAATAGAACGCAAAACAATATACATTTTTATATGAGTATTATCGTTATATAATTTGCAGCGCATTTCCATATATAATAAAATCACTCGCTTTCAAACAGACATAATTCGTCTTGAGTAGGCAGATTTAATTGATATAATACAATAAAACTCGAGTTCAGCATAGAATTACATCTTGCGACATTTAACGGTAGTGTTGCGACATTTAACGGTAGGGGAAATTTGTGCGACATTTCACGTTAACATTGCGACATTTAACGGCAAATGATTTTGCGAAATGTAGCGGCGGTTGCGACATTTAGTGGCAAGTGTGACATTTAGCGGCGTTGCGACATATAACGGCGCCACAAACATTATGGTTTAAATGACGTGATTTTGTGCCAGTATGGTCTTATCATGCTTTTGGTTTGATTTTCTCAGCAATGTCAATTGCTTGTAAATTTGGCTGGTGACCAGAAAGATGAAAATGTGAAATGTTGTGACACAACCCTCTGTAACCCCAGTCCATACAACAGAAAATTCAATAAAACCTTAATAGGTAATGTTATCTAAGACAAAACACTTATATCGTCAAATTATGTAATGTCGAACGTATTTTATGCTTAATTATTATCATAAAAGGCGTTTAGTTTAAAAACTGTGATTTTGAAACAGGTTCATGTTAATTGTGCAAGTATATATCACTTCTTTCGAGTTCGCTTACTGTAAATAACTAGAAGTGATGTCATGTCAGAACTCAATGTCGATACACGGGTAAAAAGCGATCGCACAACCCGTGGGTTAAGAGACTGAGACCTTAACCATAAGGCTACAGCTCCCTTTAGACTTTTGACAGGTTACAGAATATTAATAATTGGTATTCATTATCAATCCGAAAAAGCTGTTAGTCATAAAATTTAAATACATCATAACCAGACAAAATGTATTTAACCAATTTATCATAATCCGCAATTCTTTTAACAATACCTCATGTTGTCCAATGAAAATTTATTTTTCAAAAGTGTAGTATCTTTAATTTAATTAGATGTATCTATGATGTCAATAATGCAATATACAAATGCATTTCTTTTATCTAAAACCAATATTGGCAAACAGTTTTAAAGAACAACTTGTAATATAATATTTACAGAGCATTTCAAATGTCCAGAAGGAATAGGTAAATATTTTTCTTTTTATATACAGTCATCATGATTTCACAGACTTCTTATATGATATAAATATTATTAAACAACGATACGTGAATTGATTTGAGACTAGCTTATGAATGTAAGTCATTTAATAATTAAGTGATAAAATTATATAATTAGATGGTACCCTAAGATAGGGTAAACTTTTAAGTCGTTCGAACAACACAAATACCATACGTTTATGCACGGTCTTGGTTACGCTTTTCATTAAAGTGTGTATATATAAATATGATTTTTCTACATTTATGTCAACCCAGTACGACCAACAACAAAACCTCCATTGCCACCACGTACTACAAGTAAGTAGTGTTTTACACAGCAATTAGGCTTAAATGGAAAAGCCAATATTACTATTTTTAGATATAAACAGCTTTTACTTGCGTGATTTTTAAAAGAAATTATTAAATACTGTTGATACAATTAACCTTTAATGAATTTTTAACTCTATATAGCATCAGTTTTCTAGAGCTGAATATCTAATAGTTGCAACACTATTGCATTTCTTTCTTTGTCCTTTTCAATTTTATGCTATCGACACATTCCACTTTCTATTTTATTCTTCATTCATAAAGTGTACATCATCATGCAATGGTTTAACTCTTATCGGCGTTAGTTAACATTTGAACAAATCGTGGTTTTTAAATGTACAGTGTATATTTTTGTTGTTTTCAAGCTTTTCCTGCTCCAACAACAATTACAACCACGACACCACAGACTACCAAAACATCCAACTCCATTCCGACAACCAAAACAACCACACTCGCAGTCACAACTTCTGTTCCACCAAAAACAATTCCTCCAGTAACAAGTAAGAAATCTTTATTTTCTGTTTGTGATACATTTTATATTTCATAGCTTTATAACAATGTATATACCAATGTAATTCTCCTGTAAAACGTTCATTCAGCATTAAAATGTTATTTCTTTTCTATCAAAAAGGATTGTTTTATTAAATTGTTAGTTTTAAGTTTTAGTTTTGGCCATTTAAGTTATAGCAATGTAATATTTTGAAAGACAAAATACCAATGAGCCTTTTAGAAACAACAATAAACCTCGAATATTTCAAATAGTGATTAACTGTTACTAGTAATCTGACGTTTTGATGTCTTTCTGTATTTTAATTTCTACAGATACAATGGCAAGTATAAAAAGTACAATGTTTGTTATTGTAAAATATTAACAGCTAGTTCCTTGCTAAAGAGGAGTTTAACCTCTCAAGACATCGGAGAATATAATCATATACATGAATTTGTGAAATTAACATTAATTTAAATTGCATATATTGGTTATCAATATTTCCAGGATATGTCTTTGGTGGTTTTGACTGTAAAAACAATGTACATATTTTAGCATGCCATTTTTTATCTTTATTATATACAGAGGGTATTGAATGAATAAAGGCCACTTAGGTTTTATTATGACCCCATTCAAAGAAGAGGGGGTATATTGTTTTGCTAATGTCGGTCGGTCCGTCTATCGGTCTGTCCGTCAGTAGACCACATGGTTTCCGCTGATTATCTTCAAAACTATTTATCACAAAGTCTTCATATTTCACATAGTGATTGGTCACAACTAGTAGATAACCCTATTGATTTTGGGGTCACTATGTCAAAGGTCAAGGTTACAGGGGTCTTAAATGTCAGAATGGTTTCCGCTCATTATCTTGGTTACAATTCGTCACAAAGTCTTTATATTTCACATATTGATTGGTCATAGCTAGTAAATGACCCGTATTGATTTTGGGGTTACTAGGTCAAAGTTTTCATATTTCACATACTGACCGGTCTTAACTAGTCTTAACTAGTGAGTGACCGCTATTGATCAAAGGTCAAGGTCATAGGGTTCTTGAATGTTAGTATGGTTTCTGCCCATGATTTTAAAAGCTATTCATCACAAAGTCTTCATATTTCTAAATATTGATATGTCATAAGTATTAGATGAAGCCTATTGATTTTGGGTCACTAGTTCAAGGTCACAGGGACCTTAAATGTCAGAATGGTTTCCGCTCATTATCTGGAAAGCTTTTTATCACAAAATCTTCATTAATTTTTTTCCTATAATTGAAAACTTCCATGTACCCATTTATGGCAAGTTTCTATAACAAAATTACCAATAGTGTGTGTCAATGGCTAGAAAGGGGGGCATATGTGTCGTTCGACATTTCTTGTTGGACTCGTTGATTTTTTCAACAATGTCAAGTGTATATTAACTTGACTGGTGCACAGAATGATATTCATGTGAAATATTGTGACACAACTCTCTGTGGTCCAAGCCCACGCATCAGGAAAATCAATAAAACTGATATAATAAATGTTATCTGGGATAAGATATAAACGATAACGTGAAGGAAATTATATTTTATGTTTGATTATTCCTCAAAAATAAATTTACCTTCAAACCTTGATTTTGAAACAGGTTCATGCAACTTGTACTTATCACTTCCGAGTCCGCTATCTGAAAGTAACTTTAACTGAGGACTGATGGCATGCCATGTAGTTACGAATTATTGAACTACAGCAAAATCATACTTTCTGGTACATTTCAAACATATGTACTAATCATTCGATAAAGCATTTATGTGCTATATTCTTTTATCATTCTCTAAAATTTTTATTTAAGCCTGCGTTTAGGATGTAAAGATTCGCTGAGGCTTTTACTCTCCCTAGACAAAAAAAAACAATGAAGCAAATTTTCAAAAAATATATGTAATCAGTTGGCGTATATAAGCAAACGAGAATAATTGATTATTAAAAAGTTCATCCATGTTGCCGAATAAACATGGAAGAATTGAGTTGGTGAAAGTTTTTGTCGTTGTCATCGTGGGTGCTGCCATGTTGTTTCTGATAGTTGTTTACCCTCGCTGTTGTAGAATATAAGTTTTCTTAAAAGTTAGTTTAAACAATGTTTATTTCCAGAAGTTACAAAACATAGATATACATTACAACCAGAGACATTGTATAACAAGAATCATGAAAAAATGCAGATATAAATCTAGTGGTAAACAATGCTAAAGAATTAATAACTTTAAAAAATTCGGAAGTCCAAGACTTATATAAGTTCATTTCCTAAGTGAGTGGAAAAAGATGACGACTGACGCGTCAAAATAACATATATAATGTCTTGAGATATGAATTTACAATAAAAGTGATAAAAAAGTCCTAGTGTGGAACTGAGTTGTTTGCTACCGATAAGACAGTTAACTAAATATGATATATAAATCATGCTTATGAAGTCGTTCTGTAACATGTGCAAGCACTATGATGTGAAACGTTTGGTGGGGACAATGTATTTTTGGATGCAACTGAAGATATTTGTGTTATGTTCAAAGTTGAGATATTCAGAGCCATATAGTAAATTTTGAACAGTTAAAGGACACTGAAGGTTTGCAAAGAAAGTATTTCTTTTAACTTGAAAGTTTGGACAAGAAAGAAGATGATGCTTAATGGTTTCAATATTACCACAGGAACAGTGTGAGTCGTTGAAAATAGATTTGCGAAAAAAAGATTGTGATTTAAAGATTTACAGCCTAGACGTAAACGAGTGTGAAACACTTGTGCTTTTCTATCACCAGTAAGATAGTATAAGCGGGGCTTTTAAAGTTGGCTATCCAATTTTGATTTAAAGGTTTCTAACGTTGCACTTGATTTAATTTCATCGCATAGATTGTTCCAGTAACGGATAACAGAGGGGAAAAAAAGAATCTTGATATAGTTGAGTCCTAGAGTTTATAATTGGTATGTTATTGAAGTTACGTAATTGGTACCTATCTTGTGTTGGTTCAGGGATTATGTTTGATAAGTAATTTGGTGTAATGTGGTTTTTTATTTTGTAAAGTGTTATCCGTTTGTGTTTCTTCCTGCGAGTTGCTCATTATTTTCGTTATAAAGTTTTTCAATTCTACAAAGTTTAGTCGCTCCCGTGATAATACGCGCTGTTTCTATTTGAACAGATTCGATCTTTTGTTTTTCGTAGTTTTTGCAGTTATTCCAGGCAACATCACTATATTCTAAAAGTGGTCATATGAAAGTTAAATAAAGTTTTGTAAGACAGTCTCTATTGAAAATAATTTTGAATGCTCTTAAAATTCCAATACATTCCTAAGCCCGGGATACAGCTGGCGAGATATGAGAGTGCCATTTTCTTTCGCTTTGAAAAGTTATGCCTAAATGATTATGTTCACCAAAATCTTTAATTATGGCGTCGTTCATTTTTATATCCGGGTGTAGAGGTTTGTTTTTTTACTTGAGAATATCATGGACTGTCTTATTGGGATTGAAATCGATTAACCAGGAATTTGCCCCAAAATGTATTTTTTGCAAGTCATTCTTAAAATAGAAGAGGTAGAGTCAGGTAGGTGAACAAGTAGATAGAGGCTAGTGTCGTCGGCAAAAAGTCTGATGTTTGATTTTACCTTACTGACTATATAATTTTTATAAATGAGGAATAACAGAGGTCCTACGCTTGAGCATTGTGGCACACCAGCTAATATATTACTCCAGTTTGACATTGAAATTCTAATAACAACACGTTATGACGATTTGACAAATATGAAGTGAACCATTGGTGAAGTTGACCGGATATTCCTATCGACGATAATTTACTAAGTAGGCAACTGTGCCAATCACGGTCAAACGCCTTTGAGATATCACAAAAGACCATTCTTATTTCTTTGCAATCATCAAGGGCTTTTCAAATATCATTATAAATGAATATCAGTTGTTTAATGGTGGAGTCACCTTTTGTAAACCCAGATTGAAATTCAGAAAGAATTTTGCTTGATGTCACAAAATTGAAGATATGTTTATGAATATACCGTTCTATGAGTTTACCTAGGCAGCTTAAAAGTGATATAGGTCTATAATTCGCGGGGGAAGAAGGGTCAGATTTTTAAAGACTGGGGTTACACAGAGGCAAATGTTATGAGTTCGTTCCATACGTCGGTAGCTGGATGTATGCCAGATAGAAGTTTGTTAAAAAAGAAGAAAGTGGTGCAGCAAATGTGTTCATAGCTACTTTTAAAAGACGGGGACTTATAAAATCAGGCCCAAACGTTTTCGACGGATTAATATTAGCAATTGAATCCTTTACGTCCTGTTGCGTAATGATAATATATGTAAGTGGTGTTGTTGGATGAGCGTGAAGTGTTAGAGGATCCCCGTTGTTGCCATCAACAGTAGATTGTTGAGAGAAATAGTCATTGAATAGGTTTGCTTTTCGTTGTCGTTATTTGCATGTTGGGTTTGAGTGATTAAAAGAGGCATGCAGTCTGTTTGTTTGAGTTTTGATTTTGCTAGTTTGAACCATTGTTTAGGATTTAATGTATTGTTATTTAGTTTTTCAATAAAATTATTATGATGCTAAGCTTTGGCTTTCTTTATTTCAAGCGTTTCTTCGTTACGTTTTCTATGAAATGTGTCCCAATAATAATTGGTATTGTTCTTTATAGCTATACTGTGTATTCTTTGACGAGAGCGAACTAGCATTGGACCAAGGGACATCATTTGGGCAGATTGTAACGTTTTTTTTTATTGGGAATCGATTCTTTTGCAGCATCTAAAATTGTATCTAATAATAATGGCGTTGCAATGTCAATGTTTTCTATTGAAAGGATATTGTTTCAATTGGTACTCGACAATATATTATTAAATTTGGTATAATAATCTCCATCATATTTCCATATGTGCCTTTAAAATGACAGTTGTTTCGTTTTAGTTTAAGTATAGTAACTATAGGACAGTTATATCTAACTTGGTCTGGAATAAACGGATAAGAAACAAAACTTGTTAATATCGAGTTATGATTTTTAACTATAAATAAATCAATAAGGGAACTAGAGGATTCTGTAAAGTGTGTTGGTTTTGCGATTTTTGGTGCATATTTTATGATGACAACCGATTATTAAGTTTGTGTTATTCAGGGTTAAGTAAATTGCAGTTGAATTCACCTGTGATAATTATGTTTTGGTAATTTGTGTTGTATGTTCGAGAAGAATCCATTAGTAATTATTTGCACTCGGGGGACGGTAGAACCCACCTAAAAAGAACGATTTTGAATTATGTGTTATTTCAAGCCAAAGAGCCACGATTTCAGGATTCTTATTTTGTCGAAAATACCATTCAGTAAGTAAATTGCCACAGCTCTTGCTGTTCTATTTAAGCGGTCGTAATGAAATGGACTATCAAAATTCGGAATATTAATATCTTCATTTCTTATAACAGGAGAAAGCCAGATTTCGGTGGATACTACAATGTCATATGGCTGTGCTTCAATGTCATTTAGATAGATTTTTAAACGAAGACTATCAATGTATATATGCATTCTGCTCAATCCACTATCCAGTATATTATAGGGAGGAGAATCTACATCATTAGACTCAGAGAGATTAGATTTTTGCGAGCCTGGTTCCGGACCTGGGTTTGGATAAACTGAGCCAGAAATAAAAAGTAATAAACTATAATATAATGGAAACAGGGGAAAAATTAATTTGTGGACGGTGATGAACATGTGAAGAGGCTTATAGTGTATTAGGTGTACGTTAAAATTTATGATAAATGTCGCCAGGTGTCGTGCAGTTAACACGTAATTCATGTAATAACGTCAAGAGATATGGTATAGAGCTGTACATCACACCATCTCACAGTGCAAGAACATGACAGAACGCTACCAGCATTAAAGTGATTTGACAATTAACATGTAATCTATTCAGCAGCAAACAAACTTAATGATAAAATATAAGGAAAACAACGGGTAACACGAGTTTAAGAAAAAAAGTAAAACTGTAGTAGGATATCAAAAACATATAATTGACTAAATAAGTAAAAACGGACCTGATAAATATTCTCGATTTCGATGGCGCACTAGTAGCATGTGATGTTGAAACATTATACGTTAAAGTATAAGAGCAGACGCTTATTTACATTATACCATTATAAATCTTTAAGTTACTCTAAATAAAAATACAAACTAAAAGTGTACAGTACACATGAAACTATAGGTCTGTCAAAATACAGTATATGTAATATCCTTCGATTATGCATGAAATTAGGTGTAAAACACAGAACATTGTTTCATGCTCAAGTAAAATTAATAATATAGTCAGATAATTAAAGCGGCATGCCTGCGGTTTCTAATCTTTGTAAAGAAATATTTCATGTTTTAAAAAATAAAATAATTTCAACCAACTTAAAAGTTATTTCATCGGTTGATTTGTACGCATCTTTTGCTGTATATATTGTCGCAAATTGATTCATTTTACACACTGTTGATTATATGTTATGGAACATGTTAATCACTTGTGGATATCCGAGGATGGTTTTACACAGACATATCAGATATACGTTTATTCAAATCTAAGTTTAATGAATGACGAAGGAAATATTTCTTCTTTAAGTGCGCTCTATTTGCCCATCTCACTTGACACAGCGAGTACCGGCAGAATATATTCACTTGTACGGAGACAAATGTTATGAGTTCGTTCCATACGTCGGTGGCTGGATGTACGCCAGAAAAGATTGTCATAGGAAAGGAGGACATATGTTGTCTATAACAAACGCTGGGGAACAAGCTTTTATTTCGAATCTGATTTCAAAAGGTTATGTTATAACAACACTATGGCTAGGTTTGGATGATCGGGTGAACGAAGGACAGTTCAATTGGGACACAGGTTTGCAACTTGTTTACATATAACCATGATATCTCTTTCTATTTTATAGTACTGAATCTCTTTGTTAACTGATATATTAATTTGTATGCTATCACTATAAGGTATGTTAGTGAGACACTGTGTGTTAAGTATGAGATTCATATTTAAGCTAATTCCAACCAAAGATATCACTTAAGGTGGTTCATACCCCCACCAGCAACCTTACCTTCTTGAAAAAAGTGGTCTGAAGCAAAATTTGAACTCTACGTATAATTTATGTTGCTTCGTTTGTATACCAATAATTATTACAACTAAAAACGTATCTTCAAGAAAAAAAAATTCTATTGTTATAACAGTGTCCTTGACATTGACCCTAGGGGATTCAATAGCAATCAAAACAGGGATCTTTATATATGTTTGCTGTATACCAAGTTTGATTACAATATGTCATTCCTATCTCTAGTTATTGTCCGGAAACCATTTTTCTATTTCAAGTAACAGTGACATTGACATTTATCACACTTGGTCCAAACGCAATACCAACCTTGGTATTCATATAAGCTTGCTATTTTCCAAGTATGATAACACTATCTCATTGCTAACCAATTTTCTATTGTCAGTAACGGTGACATAGATCTTAAGGGGTTTAAATGCAATACCAACTTGGGTCTTCATAAAAGCTTGCTATATACCAATTCTGTTACATATCTACCTTCTAGTTTGAGTTATTTCTGGAAATCATTTTTCTATTTTTAGTAATGATAACCTTGACCTTGAACCAGGGGTCAAATAACAATCCCATGTTTTGAGGTCTAATAAGCTTGCTATATACTTAATTTGATGACAATAACTCATTCATAACTCTAGTTATTTTCAAAAAAAAATATATTTTAGTAACAGTGACATTGACCTTGACCTTGAACCGAGTGCATCCAAAACAATCCCACTCTGGGTATTCTTGTAAACTTGCTAACTACAAAAGTTGATAACAATATGTCATTCCCGATTCTAGTTTTTGTCCGAAAACAATTTTTCTATTTTTGTTACTGTGATCTTGACCTTGATCCCAGGGGGATCCAGAAGCAATCCCAATCTGGGTCTTCAGATAAGCTAGCATTATACAATATTTGAAGACAATACCTCAATCCTACCTCTTCTTTATTTTTAGTTACAGTGACATTGACCTTGACCCCCAGGGGTCCAATTGCAATCCCACCGAAGTTTTCTAAATTTGATTACAATATATCATTCCTAAATCTATATTTTATCGGAAACCATTTTTCCATTTTAGAAACAGTGACCTTGACCGGAGGGGTTCATAAACAATCCCAACAACGGTCTTCTCATAAGTTTTCTATGTATCTAATTTGATTACTGTATATTATTCTTATCTCTTGTTATTGTTCAGAAACAATTTTTCTTTTTTTGTAACAGTGACCTTGACCTTGATCCTGGGGGTTGAAATTCAATACCAGCCTGGGACTTTATATACGCTTGCTATATATTATGTTTGATTACAATATATCATTATTAACTGAAATTGTCCGAAAACAATTTTTCTAATTTTAGAAACAGTGACTTTGACCTTGACCCAAGGTGGTTCATTTGCAGACCCAATCTGGGTCTTCATATAAGCTTGTTGTATATCAAATTTGATTACAATATCTCATTTCTATCTCTAGTTATTGTCCAAAAGCGATTTTAACAGTAACCTTGACACGAGGACGTCCAAAAGCACCCGAGGTTTTCTTTGAAGCTTACATTAAAATATACATGTTCTATTCTTAACACTAAAATTTGTCCAAAAACCATTTTCTTTTTTAGGAACATTTACTTTGACCTTTACACAAGGGGTTCAAATCCAAAATCAACCTGGGTCTTTATAAAATTTTGCTATATATCAAGTTTAATTAAAATATTATATCATTCCTAACTCTAGACATTTTCCGGAAACCATTTTTCTCTTTTTAGAAAAAGTGACGTTGACCTTGACCCGTGGGGGTTCATTTGCAATCACAACCTAGGTCTTCATGTAAGGTTGCTATATATCGAACTTGATAACAATATCACATTCATATCTCTCGTTATTGTCTGGAAACTATTTTTCTATTTTGAGTGACCTTGACATTGATCCAAGGCGCGGAGGGGGGGGGGTGAAAAGCAATTCCAACCTGGGTCTTCATATGAACTTGCTTTATACCAAGTTTGATTACAATGTCTCATTAGTAACTGTAGTCCGTGTACGGAAACCTTTTTTTCTTTCTATTTTTAGTAACGGTGACCGTGACCTTGATACGAAGCGTTCAAATGTTAATACAAACCTATGTCTTCATATCAAAGCTTATTTATACAAAGTTTGATAACAATGTCTCATTGCTAACTTTAGTTATTGTCTGGAATAAATCGTTCGAAAACAAGAAGTAAACCGACCCGATAGATGAACCGACTGACCAACCGACAAGCTGACTGCACTAACCCCCTCCCCCTTAACTTTGTTTGTGGGGGGTATAATAACACTATGTCCAATCATATTAATGTAGTTATTACATTTCATGCAATCACATGTTGCATTTTTGTTTTTCATTCTATAACGTATGCATACATGTTGTTTTTAAGAAATTATAAGTTCGTCCATTATGTGTTTCATTCATTTTTCATCCCAAAAGTATCGTTCAGTATTATATTATATATTTGTATTATTCATTGTTAAACACGAGAATGTGTACAGTTTACGTGACCTTATTACACTGTAATAAAATCTGTTTTGTTCTGTTCTGTTCATTAACTTTAGAAAATTTTAGTGGAATTCTTTTGTAAAATTGAAAACATGATGTATAGAAATGTCCGTTCCTCAACAATACAATTCGAGAATAAGTTAGACCAGAAGAAAAAAGTAAGCATAGAAGAATTTAAAGAAGCATCTTTAATTGCTGTTGAAAAGTCAAACATTTCATCATATTTTGCATTATGAAGTAGTGTTGTTATTATAAGAGACGGACACAATTTTGATGATTTTTTATATTTTTTGATCAACCATTTAAGGCCTTTACCATTAAAAGAGTTGTTTTATTTCTTAAATGCCACCTTTACATGTTTACATTGTCCGTAGGTGTTAAAGTGAATTATACTAATTGGGCTCCCGGGCGAAATGTTGACCCCTATCATGACCAGAGAGATTGTGTTGTTATGATCGTGGCTAGATATGGAAAATGGGACGACGTTGATTGCGATGCTCTGGTAAATGGAAGACTCATTTCGTATAATTGGATGTGTCAATACAGTAGGTTATAGTTTCTGCTGTTATTTTATATGACCGCCCTTCATATAAAAAACATATTGGCGTTAAATTGTTCTTACAGAGAATTAACAAATTTTATCTAAATTTAAAATTTTAGTACACATATTCTTTTTCAATTACTCATTTTACGTTCTTTTTTTTCAAGACAAGTTTTGCATTTATTTTGTTATTTTGAAAGAAAATTGAATAAACAGTGTTTTTCTGTGAATGCGAAGTTACCACATTTTAAGTTTAATTTGGAGCCTGTAGGGAATATCAAAATCTTTTTTCCTCGTTTTAGAAATGAAATATAGCCAACAGTAATTGTGTCGCTAAATAAAATCACTTTTGGAGTTCGGATACGAGGTATTAAATAAGAAGGCGTAGTCGGAATGATACATTATGGTCAAACAGTGATTTTATAAAGCGATAAACATTGTTCGATTCTAAATCGAAATAAGAAAATAAATGCCTACCTGATATCAAGCTAAATTGTGCCTGATGTGTTTCCGTATTTATTTTCAGCACGTCGCATTTTTAATGGTTGCATCACATGTGTAAAAATGAATCGTCAACGGTGAATTTTGTTGCATATTGTCTTTCTATGTTCAATAGTTAAAGATGCGGGTCGTGCTAGAATTTGTGATAACCCACATTGTCTCATAACAAAATAGTGTGATTAAGATTATTTGTCTTGATCTTTTTCAGATTTTGAGACTCAAGTGATTAGTGCGTTGCCAAATAAGCCTAGTACGACATTTATTTTTGATAAACTTTTTTGTCAAATTTCTTACCGTATTTTGCAATTCTTTGTACAATGACTAGTTCAAATAATAATATATAAATGTCTTAATTTCTCCACGTGTTTTGCCAACTTAAACATTTTTGAGTTTTTATGCCCCCACAATGTGGGTGCATATAGCGTTGCACTTGTCCGTCCGTCCGTCCGTCCGTCCGTCCGTCCGTACGTCCCGAAATCTTGTGAACGCAACTCCTCTTAAACCGGATGGCAGATTTTGCTTAAACTTACAGGGATGGACAACCTTAATATGTAGATGGTAGTAAAGGAAGGAATTTTTGCTGTGACCAAATTTAAGAGAATTATGGCCCTTTGTTGATATTTTTACTAGATACTATATAGAAATTTTGTGAACGCAACTCCTCTTAAACCGGATGACAGATTTTGCTTAAACTTACAGGGATGAACAACCTTAATGTGTAGATGGTAGTAAAGGAAGGAATTTTTGCTGCGACCAAATTTTACAGAATTATGGCCCTTTGTTGATTTTTTCACTATATACTATGTAGAAATTTTGTGACCGCAACTCCTCTTAAACCGGATGGCAGATTTTGCTTAAACTTACAGGGATGAACAACCTTAAGGTGTAGATGGTAGTAAAGGAAGGAATTTTTGATGCGACCAAATTTTACAGAATTATGGCCCTTTGTTGATTTTTTCACTATATACTATGTAGAAATTTTGTGAACGCAACTCCTCTTAAACCGGGTGGCAGATTTTGCTTAAACTTACAGGGATGAACAATCTTAAGGTGTAGATGGTAGTAAAGGAAGGAATTTTTGCTGCGACCAAATTTTACAGAATTATGGCCTTTTGTTGATTTTTTCACTATATACTATGTAGAAATTTTGTGAATGCAACTCCTCTTAAACCAAATGGCAGATTTTGCTTAAACTTCCAGGGATGAACAACCTTAATGTGTAGATGGTTTTAAAGTAAGGAATTTTTGCTGCGACCAAATTTAACAGAATTATGGCCCTTTGTTGATTTTTAGTTTTCAACTTGTGGCACATGTAGTCCAAAAAATATTTGACCTAGAGTCATAAGATTGACAGAACAGTGGCGTGTGGGGGCATCCGTGTCCTATGGACACATTTCTAGTTGTGTCTATGGGTTTACTTCATACAATCACCTTCAGTGTTGGTTAAATATTTTGTTTTTGGAAAAGATTCCAGTCATTGGATTTTTGTCAGGACGAACGACAACTCTGCTTAGAGCTTCAGGGTGTGGTATTACAAAACATGTTTTTATAGTAAAAATGACAAAAATGTTTTACAATAATGGACTTTCGCTTAACTATGTACATATTTAAACAAATACTGTATGCTTTTTCAGTAGAAATTGTTTTAAAATTGCTCTGAATTATGCGATTATAATTATTTTCTATTGTACTGGTTACTTTAATGTAAGGTTTTTATTTCGTTATATAGATACATATCAAATAGATAAAAATCAAAGGTGCGTATATAACAAACAATATCTGTATACTTCAAATTGACATTCAAACAGACACAATATGTTTTCCCTTTTATAATTTCAGTAGATGGAAATTGGAGCCATTGGCACAAATGGAGCGCGTGCTCTGTCACGTGTGGAACCGGAAGTCAAAGTCGTACAAGAGACTGCAACAATCCGGCACCACAACATGGCGGAAATTTTTGCTTTGGTTTAAGATCTGAAACCTCAACGTGCAACATTAAAATATGTCCACGTAACTAAATTACTAAATAGTGCAATCCTTCAAAAATGTATTTTACACATGAATACATATTTAAACTTCATACTTCAATGTTTTTTAATATTTGCTTACTTATTTACGTTTTTTTTTTATAAATATTTCGGATTGTTTTGTGTTTGCTATTACTGATATAACTATCAACAAGCCGTCATATAAAAACCATAATATGCGTAACATACAATATCTATATACTTCAAATTGACATTCAAACAGACAAAATATGTTTTCCCTTTTATATTTTCAGTAGATGGAAATTGGAGCCCTTGGCACACATGGAGCGCGTGCTCTGTCACGTGTGGAACCGGAAATCAAAGTCGTACAAGAGACTGCAACAATCCGGCACCACAACATGGCGGACATTTTTGCTTTGATTTAGGAACAGAAACCTCAACGTGCAACATTAAAGATTGCCCACGTAACTAAATAACTAAATATTACAATCCTTCTCTTTGTCCCTCAAATATGTAATTTCTATATGAGTACATATATAAACTTCATACTTCAATTTTTTTTTAATATTTGCTTACTTATTTACTTTTCTATTTATATTTCGGATTGTTTTGTGTTTGCAATAACTGATATTATTATAAATAAGCCGTCAGTTCTCCACTGATCCTCTACATAGACAAATTAAAGTTGTTTTTTTTACTAGTAAAGCTAATATTCTTTTATCAACAAATTGTATTTAAAACAAGCCCTAATTTTTATTTGTAATGGACGCTCATAAGAAAATGATAAAACGATTTTTACAGCTCTAAAGGAGCGTCGACGTAGGACTGACTGCAGCTGTTTAAGATAATTATTTTCTGATTAACGTCTCACTTACTTACACTTAAGCCTACTTTTCGAAGACACGCGTCAGTTTATTCAGATAGACGCGACGTTTAGATAAAAATATAAATACACAATTTCGAATATAGTTAATGAGGAAAATACTGGCAGAATTTTAAAATTTATGCCTTTTTATTGGGCGAAAAAGTGGAACGGGGACAAAAAGTAATTAAGATATGAAATCTAGTATGCTATAAGTGTTAAGTTGATAACGATCTATTGGATAAGCGTAATAGTACAAACAAAAGCATGATTCATTGTGAAATAAATGGTTCATAACTGTGCTTTTATTATCCATTTCAGATTGGATGCCATTCTACGAAACCGCACCTTGTAGCGTCACATGCGGAGTAGGTTTTGTTCAGCTAAGGAGAAATTGCTCCACAGGCAACACTAAGGATTGTCATGGCAATGAAAATAGTGAAAAGCCTTGTCACCTTAAAGATTGCTCCAACTGATATTTGTTTAAATTATCTAATGATGATAATATTTTAACAAATCATTGAATTTATATAAATCTTATTCAATAGAAAAAATCAACTCCCATTATGTCGACACCAACCTTGGGGTTTCTTTTGTTCAATATTAATAAAAAAAACACTTTCATATAAAAAAATGACTGTAATAATTTAAACAGCAAGTCAGTTTTTGTACAGAATATTCGGCGCGTGAAAACATAAATTGACAACACATAACATGCCATATTATTTTGCCAAAAATATTATGATGTGATACTTTAATGATTAATTAAAGGAAGAGATAGGGATCTGTTATAATTGGCTCCTGATGGGAACCTAAATAATTAAGTCATTGATTATATTATAATCGCTATGGGCACCGTAGGGAACGTGTTACGTATCGCGTTTTTCTGTTACAGTATAGAATTTTCAAGATGGAGGATTATTTGTGGGGAAAACTGGTAGGTGAGTTTTATTCCGATCCATACTACGAGTAGTTTAGTTTTTAAAAGATGGTTTATGCTTTTCTTGTCAGGAACTGGATCGGGTATCTAGTCATATATTTCTTTAGACCCTGCACCGCAGTATAATCTCTATATTGTCTCATAAATTTGCAGATTTGACAGATTGAAAATTCGAATCAAGAGACCAACGCATTTTTCTCCCATTCCGACATTATTTAAGCATGCCTACAAAAAGTAAAAACAAAACGTGAGACCTTTATGTTTAGAAACGTTTATAAAAGTAAACGACCAGTTGAACCTATTTTCGTGTTCGCCAGATACGTTTGAAAAAATAAACAATGCTACAGTATAGAGCAAGATGACTTGTTCAGGGTTATAGCATAGACCGAGCGATTTTTATCCGATTTTGTTACAGTATATACCCAGATTTCGGTTACAGCTTAATCCTCGATATTTTTATATATACTATGTAAAATGTATGAATGATACGTAGACTTTTAAATCGTAACTCGACTGGTGAGCTTATTGGGACGATGGCTATTCGTCCGTCTGTCGCATGTACACATGCGTGCCCAATCTCATCCGCTTAGTAACAACTTGACCAAATTTATTGAAATTTACATGATTTCTACCAAGTTGTTCAAATGGTTTCGGTTGCAATCTGGGATACGAAAACCAAAAATGAAGATAATTAAAAAGGCAATGTGTTAAAACCCTTCTTCTCTTGAACCAAAAAGCATTTTAATCAAATAAATAGAAATTATGACCCTATCGTCATTTCAAATGCTTCTTTGTTGAAGTGAAGATTATTTTGTCATTGTTAAATAAAAAGTCGTTTACTTTTATTTCAGATATCCTATATAGAAGTTTTCATGTTTCTGAAAAGGAAAATAATATTGAAAGATATAGAATATAAATTAATTAAGGAGACAATTACAATATATTTTCCATAGAGTCTGGTGGAGGAACATAAAAGTGGCAGAGTCGGGATAAGGTCGCCGACTTCAAATTATCTTTCACTTACTGCTGTGGTTGAAATCCAGTGATGACGATGGATTTTTTGTATGTGATGAATATATCAAGCTAGTTTATGGGAGGCCGGTGGCTCTAGTCGTTCAGACCCGCTAGTGTCTGAAATGTTTCACAAAGGGGTTTATGTGGTCTATCTTTACAGTAAAACAGGAATGTATCGGTGAAACTTAAAACCCAAGAAAACTAAGAATAACAAACCTTTTAAATACTTACAAAATACATTATTGTAGATGATAAGTCCAACTTAAAATAAGTTTTAAGGTTGCAGTATTTCTCACTTGAATACTGTTTAATGTTTAATCACCCTTATGGTATGTTGCCTTCTTTTATAATTGTGTCTTTTGACAGCTTATCTGTGGTATGCAGGCTTCATAATCTCGATCCCCTCTCAAAATTCATTTATTTTTAGTTTCACCCATTGTATTCTCGTTAGGGCAGGCGCAATTTTTAACCTAGGGGATAATATGCCGCTTTTCATGGAATGGCTCTAACGTGTTACATTGAAGGTTCCTTGGTACCGCCATATGAAACACATCTACAGATGTTAATAAAATCTACTAAAGTTTAGCAGTTCATGTCAAATGATGAATTCTGCTAGAGCCGGTGCTAGGAGGCGTGGACAGTAGCTTGAAGTTACCAGTACCGTCCATGAACAGTACGCTCAATCAAATCGAGCCTGCTACATTTCCGTGTTTCCGTGTTGGACTTTCCTTAAGGAATCTGTTTTTCTCTATTTTATTACTAACAGGCATTATAATGTGTAATGGTACAAAGCAATAATCTTTCTTCTCTCTATACAATTTGATAACAAGTACTGTTGTTGTTGTGAAAACAGTTCTTACATAGGACATTACTTATTCTGCAAAAAGTCTCAATTTGAATATAAGTACTCAAAATAAGGAAAATAGAAAGCTACATGTATAACTTTTCTTTTGAAGAAATAATGTAATACAACCATTCAAGAATATATTTAATAGAAATGACGAATGGGTTATTTCATACACAAACCTTATTTGAAATTTGGCAAATATCTAAGCTGTAGCCAAAATCTGGGTATATACTGAAACAAAATCGGATCAAAACCGCTCGGTTTACACTGTAACCCTGCAAACTTCACCTCGCTCTATACTGTAGCATTGTTTATTTTTTCAAATCAATTTGACGAACAGGAAATAGGTCCAACTGGTCGTTCACTTTTGTAAACGTTTATTAACATGTCGCCGGCCTACTCAATGGGTAATGATAACGAACGCACTGGGTTGGTTCGAGAGATTCTATTATATTTACATGGTAAATACGCTCCTGTAATGACATACATAAACAATAATAAGACACGGAAAATACAAACAATTAACAATACAAATTCCGATCAATTGAAATACAATACACAATTACATATAAGGCATTAAATACAAACGTTTACCTGCAGATATATCAATAAATAACTACAAAAAGGATGATAATAGTTTTTAAAGCATAAATGGCTGTTTACATTTGTTTTCAAAATATGGCGGATATCGATTACTCGATAGTGATTGGTTATTGATTTGTTATTGATAGAGAGGAGGTTAATCGAAATAAATACAGTAAAGAACGAAAGTATAAGGAGGTCTGACTACACTTACTATAAGCTACCACTACATTATAAACTATCTACTTTAGTTTGGTGTTCAAATTATACTTTATTATTATGTAATTATGAATGTTTTATATTATAGTTATTAGTGTATGATTTGATCTTAATGTAGATACGTGTATATAATCATGTAGATAAGGTACTTTTATAAATAGTGTATGTTTAGTTAGTGTAAGTGTGTATCAT